AAAGCAGAGACAGAAGGATCACGTTGAGAAAACAGAGAGCACACAAACAGCTTCTTCAACTCAAAACAGACTGACCTTGTGCTGTCGCCTCTGCAATAATGCTGTCTCAGTCACACACACATTTAGCTTACATACTGACCATATGACCAAACACCTCGTAAATGACTGAAATGGTGTGTGTGTGTGTGTGTGTGTGTGTGTGTGTGTGTGTGTGTTAGAAGGAGAGAGCAGGTCACTATAAAAGTGCAGCTGCTGCTTTTTCTTTCTTGCCTAGCGTAGCATCTGTCGCTAAACACAGTCTTCAAGTTCACTCTCTTGTCTTCTTCTTCTCTCACCTGTTGAAAGTCTACTCTTCAGTTTTTGAACTTTTATTTTGAAATCTATTTAACCAGGAAGACCTCAGAGTGAGATAAAGAAACGCATTTAAATGAGAGTCTTAGCCGAGGCGGTTACAGACATGATAAACCACAGATCAACACATCCTGAGTCACAGAGCAGAAAAGTCATCATCTACAAAGCAAAGCATCTACAACCTGACGCATTTCCTCCAACACCTTCAATCGACTTTTAAACAGATTTAAAGCCACCAGCTCCCCCGGACACAAATCCTCCTGCAGCAGATTCTAAAACAGCATGAGCAGAATACCTGAAACTCCTTTTCTCCCGTTTCAAGACGCACTTTGTGGACAGATAACAAGAATACATTTCAGTCTCATGCTAAATCACACACACACATACACACACTGTTAGCATTGTCTCTTTAGCTGAGCTGGCTCTCCTGACGATGAGGTCGCTTTGAGTTTGACTCTGTTAGCTCATCCAGTTGTGAAGAGAGTTTCTGGGTCAACAAAGCAGCCAGATTTAAGAATCGTATCATCAACTGTGAAGACTGTGGAGTGGGCGTCTCGGTGCAAAGCTGCAAGTTCTGTGACAGGATTCTGAAATTGCGTGCGAGCAAGAAAAACGGGAGGATGTAGAGGGACTAGAGACAAGAAGACACGTGCAAAGAATTCTGACTTCAATCTCAGAATTCTGAGTTTAAAGTTTGTATTTTGCACAATATTTGACCTTTTTAAAGTAAATCTGAAAGCCTTCGCTCTCTCTTATCACATTGGTACCTCCCGTGACTCGGTGTAAATGTATTCCTAAGACCCCTAAAATAGAAACAGTCTCGAAGGCGACTCTGCATATCAGGTGACGTGGAGTCGAGTGTAACGTGTGGGTCTTGAAATGACACATACCTCGAAGTGGTGAAACCGCTCCTGGGCGGTGAACGACGTGTGATGATATTACTCGAGACACACGTAGTCACAGCCAAGCTGTCCATCTCATTTGAGCTCCCAGGTGATTTCAGAGAGAAGATATGTCTAAAGTTTGAATAAAAGATCTGACATAGTTAATGCTCAATAAGCATTTTACAGAACGCTTCATTTTTATCATTTATTCACCTCCATGAATCGGATTGAGAGTTAGAGATCCTGCTCTATTAAAGATACAATATGTAGATTACTGTAGGGGACTCTCAATCAATACTGCAATAACAAAAGATGACGTCGAGGCTGGTGGGGAATCATAGGAGTTCTCTCTGCTGTTTCATGTACCAAAGACTGAATACAACAAAGTTTAAGTAGCAACTCTGCAGGGGGCTTCCTCAGGATTTTTCTGGGCCCCATGATAAGCGATCACACCCCCTCTCCAGAACATCCTCGAGCCTGGTTTATACTTCTGCAATGAGTCTTTGTCGTAACTACGCCTGAGCTGTCATGGAGCGTTTCATACTGGTGCCGTGCCTCTGCAATGTTGCAACACAATTTGAATTTACAGACTTGGAGCCGGCGCACAAAAAAGTGCAGAGCACTCAGAAAAAAAGATGGCGGCTCTGCACTTTTTTTAAAGTTAGGCCGCCTGCTGCTGCAAACGCTCTCAACTCATGAAAAACAATTGAAGAAAAAAAGAACACTGCCGCTTGGAGAAAAATGCTAGGTGGACACAGGGCCTATGTGTACTTCTGCTTTGGCTTCACTTTGGAAATCAGAAGATACGTCTACTTTTATATACTCTGCGTTCACTTCCTGCTCGGTGGCATCAACAAGGAGGTGCAAGGGACAAAAATAGCGTCCAGAGCGTTATATTTAATAAAACAAGGAGATAAAAAAAACTACAACTGTTTCACAACATGAACCATGACCAACCAGATTACCTCGCCTCATCCTCCTCCCCTCCATCTCCTCGTCGTCTACAGTATCAGGGCAAATTAAACCGCCAAAGCCTCGGAAAGATTAATGAGAGTGAAATCTTGCAGCAGCAGGGTTCGCCCGGTTTAGGGTTACGGTGTGCGCTCCCTGTCAACGCAGCACGACCATTTAAAACCATCGGGCGTGTCGCAGGAGGGCGCGGGGACTCTGAGGAGCTGCTGAGGTAATCGCATAACCTCCAAGCTGCCGTTCAAAGGAAGCAGAGGGGGGGGCGTGTTGGGTGGGAGTGGGCAGTAAAAAGGAAAATGATTTGAACTTTCTTAATGAGTAAAAAATCTCTGGTGGTGATAAAAACATAAAAAAAATGGAATGCATTTTGAGAAAAAAACACCAAATTAAAGCTCTGTGTGTGCAAAGAAAACCCTAAGATGTGCGTTAAACTTAATTTTTTTTACCTCCCAGTACAACCAGTGAGTGTACTGGTTTGCTTAAGGATGAGTACCTTGCTCAGCAACATGTCGTCAGCCGTCATGGCGGGCGTGCACAAAGTTCCTCAGTCATGCACACATTCTCAGTTTCGCCCAGTTGAGGAAATAGAAGCTGTGTGTTTTTCTGGACGGACCTCAGACTCGAGGACAAGATACTAATTTGAGATTTGGCACTCCTGGTCGATCTCCACTCACCGCCCACGGCGTCCCTGGTCTGGGGTCAGGTTACGCCCAGCCGGAATTGTTGACATCATTAACAGGGATTTGACCTTATGTTATCGGGGCGGGAGAGTTTAGGGAACCATCGAGCGAGTGTCACATGGATCAGCATTATTCATCATCAGCGTCCGATTTAAACATTGAGTATATCACGGCTACACTGAGATGAACGTCTGTTTGTCGACGTGTCAGCCGGGTTATTGTTCACTTTCTGCAGGAAGTTTGAAATCTGTTGCTGCCGACTTCTCTCTCTTTATCTCGTCATCTCTCGGTGGTGGATATGAGAGGAAAATGGTGTTAATCATTATGAGAGCTTTGGTGAAAACAATTATGTGACTTAGATCTGTCATATTTTAAATCGTATAGCAGCCAATCACAACAACAGTGACACTAGGGTTGGTTTAGAGCGGAGGTTCTCAACTGGTGGGTCGGGACCCAAAAGTGGGTCGTAGAGCTTTTTTCAGCTCCTTTGTTCATTCATGTTTTGTACCGACTGAGATCCAAACTGCACAATTTTTCATATTTAATGAATCTGATTGGTTGAAATATATCAGAAATGTGTGTTGTGATGGGGGGGGGAGTGTGTGTGTGGCTGTGTGTGCACTCTTTGTTGATGTCATCGCCATGAGCGTCGACCTCTGTAAGGGAAGTGTTGACAGCCTTAAAATAAAACCAATCACTTTTTGGCTTGATTTCTCCTTCCAGACACAGAAACACACACTCTACCATGTAGGGAAACACACACACACACACACACACACACACACACTGCTGCCAGTCAGCTGTTGTGTGGTGGTCGGGTGTTAAGCCCCGTGGTTCGGGGGAGGTGATGAAGGGGGATATATTATCAATTTGCTGCAATACCCAACAGAGAATAATCCTTTAATGAAAATGTTCATCATCACCTCCAGATGAAGTGTCGAGTCAACAGTCTGTAAATATCCGTTTATTATCAACGACTTAAAGCTCCGCTGGCTCGGAGCAGGGTGGGCCTGCGTGTCTGGTTGATACAAACAGGGAAGTGTTTATAATCTTGACATGTGTTGAATATGTTTGTTGTCATTTTAAGAGCAGGTTCAGCTGTTTCTCCATTGGGGGCCAATAACTGTATTTAACGATGCTAACATTGTTACCCTACAGACACTTTAACAACACATTTTACCCCCCTCACCTTCAGGTTTCAACATTTAAGTATTCTTAATTCAAATGTATTCAACCTTTGTTGTGTTTCATGAAAGTTCATAAAGTTTTTCAGTGAAAAAAAGTGATAGAACTCAATTTAACACCACGCAGAAGTGATTCAAAATATGTTTGAGGGATCGGAGTGATATTGAGATTTCTGTGGTGTAGTGCCACATTGTGGTAGAATACAGGTACCATCGCAGGATTTACATGATTTTTTTAAAATCTAATTCTAAGGGCCCATGACTGACAGAAGCCCTAAAAAATAAACTTCAACAACTTCTCTGCTAATTCTCTTTGGAAAAAGGACGCCAAAATAAAATAAAAAAAAAACCCATTGAAATAATTAAGGTCATTGTTGATAAGTGTTATTTTGGGTTTAGTATTTGTATATTATTGGGTTTTATGTGGATGGGCAATTCTTCTATATTTATCTTATTTCTTTTAGGTGTCTACAGGTTTGCTTCAACAGTATATCTTTGCACTTGTAAAGTGAAAATAAAGAAATATCTTCGTAAACAAGTATCAACGAGGCCTACTTTAAATTTTATAATCTCTGACAGTCTTTTTGAAATTCTGCAATAGTCAATTGAATTATAGATTTAAGAAAACACTCCCACAATTTCTGAAAATTTAAGATAATTCCTAATTTGACTGAATCTCAAAGGCGAATAAACCTTCACATTCAGTAACATTTCTAACAAAAACACGAGGTTTTAAACGCAAACTTAATCTCGCCAGTTGTAGTTTAATGTAAACCAAACAAGCTACCCTCTACACACAATAATTAAACAAACACTTTCAGTTTGATTTTGGCGAAGAAAAGCTAACGGAGCTGAATCTTGTGTGTACAGCGGCCGTGCTTTTACTTTGAAGGCGTGGCAGTAAAGCCGGAAATGTCGTCAGTAGTCTGTGCAGTTTAAGGATTCCTGCAAACGAAACGAAGAGCATGGACGCTTCTAAGTTGCAATATATACAAAAATAACGAAAGGTATGCAACAAAAAACCTCGGCACTAACTTAACAACCTTAATATCGCGTTTTTAAAGTCGTATTTTCTGGTGTTTTTTTAAACATTATGCGTGTTTGTAACCGGTTTCTCATCAGGACTGCTGTTTGTTTTAGCACTGGGCATAACTCTTTACATTTTAGCTGTGTTTTGTGTCCCCAAGAGTTCGTTTTAATTAAAAAAACTAACGTATGTTGTTATAAATAGTTTAAACTGCTTTAAATTCAAACTTACCGACAGGTCTCAGGCCTGTTAGTTAAACAGCTACGCCACCAAATATTGACCTCAGTCATCAGGATAGGCCTATTGCTATCTTTGTTACAGTTATATCTCTTAAAGATGTATGAGTTCAAGTATGATTCATTTTAATTCAGTAATTTAATTCAATACATATATTTTATTGCCCCATAGGGGGGATTTGAAATATGTTTGTTACAGTGAAGATGCGTTCAGGTACCTCATATTTCCTGAATTTGTCAGGTCCCATTGTCTTACTTTATTCAAACTCCCACACCCTGAGGAAGAGCAGCACTACTTTTGTATAAGTCCATTACTTTTATTTACTGTTGAACAGTTCTATTGTAAGATTATGCCAGGCTAGTTCATAGGGTGTTATATTGAAAATATAACCTTTTTAAAGCAATTTTAATTCTTAGGTACAAAGTTTCAACGGTTACTCCACATAGACATTTTTGCCTACATACCCCAAATATTCTCCAAAAAGTTATAATAAAAATACATTTTAGACTAGGTCCTCAAAAAAAAGAATAAAAGCATGTCATTTGTGCATTTATTTTTACATTTTAAGCCTTTAAAAGTTAAATAAACCAAATGGACACAAAAAAATGAGCGTCACATCATTGACCCGTATATCATTTTTTAGGAACACGCTGCTGACTCTACCTTTTTAAAGACAATTTAACTTAATCCTGACCTCTCAGCAACTGTGCCTGAAGATAGCTTGAGGGCTTTCCTCCCTAAGTTATACTTCATTCATCATCATTTTCCATATCTTTTGTGATAAAAGTCTCAACGTTTTTATTTGTCATAGTATGAAACGTGTAACTTAGATCTTGCAAACATCTCAGGAAAGATGATAGCAAATGGAGGACAGAGTTCTGAACCAAGTCGCCGCAATTGGTGGTTCAGAATGAAGACGAGGCAGAAATACAAAATAATTCCTTGGAGGCAGGGGCGTGGCAGGAGGGGTGGCATGGGCCCCCCTAGAAATCTGATTGGCCACCCCAGGTGCAACCTCAAAAATCACAACTGTGATTGGCTATTAGCAGTGGTCCCTGCTCGAAGGACCATTGGAGGCTTACTACTAAAACAAGTCAACACTTATGGCTAATTCAGTAACTGAACTTTACCTACTGGATGTCTTTGTGGTGTTGGGAAATTTTGTAGATTTTTTTGTGCTTATACCAGGCAAATCATATTATTTGCCATGCAGTTCATTGTGCTGTCAAAAAATGTGTGCTCCAGTTTTGCCAGTGAGTGGCGCTCTAGTATTCTTTCTGTTGATACTCATAAGCCAACTGTTTGTTGTCTGGCTCGTTAAATTGTTCAGTGTCCAATATACTTCCAAATATATATATATATATATATATATATATATATATATATATATATATATATATATATATAAGCCGATAGTGCATAGGTGTTTTTGTTGGCTTCCTGCAGAGAAGTAGGAAGCTTTAGGGATGAGAAGTCATCCCACCTTTAGTTCATCCAAGACCAATTCTCTTAGTGTTTGGAGCTCATTGTATCACATGTTTTATTCCTGTTCTTAAAATTATCAACTTGTGTTGGTACCAGGTGTAAAGGGCTAAGTTGTCGGGTTACATGCCTGCTTAATTTGGACTGTTTTTGTGTTGGTATCACTACATCTTGTGGAAGTATCCACGTTGCAAAAGAGAGATGATTACCAGCTGTGTTCTATTATCATTCTTTTAAGGGGGCTGAAAGGTTTTGTCTGTTTCATGTCTGCATCATGTATTGGGGTAATATCTAGGTTTTTCTGGACATAGTTCAGTGCATTAGGAGCTTAGATTTTACATGTCTGAGCTATGAAGTTTAGGAGACCACCACATCACCAGCACCTTTAGCCACAATGCTTGAAAGTGGGCACTCACAAAAGACACCATGTTTGTTTTTTTGTAGAAGAAAATTCTGTTTTATTGTATACCCTGTCTGCATCACATTATAAGTCTCTTAAATGAGCATTCAAAGTTCAACAAGTGTGCGTGTGATCATTTATTCTGAAAATGTTCAGAATAGCTCAATTAAATGTTTTTTCCCTGGATGTTAGATATTGCTTTTTTCTCTCTGTTGTTGCTTTTGCGTCTCCTTTTTGCCTTGCTAGGGAAGACCTGAATTTGAAAGAGTTGCAATGATTGTGTGTCCAACAGGAAGCCCCAAAGTTGAGAGCCAAGACACAACCATCCAGATGGTGGATCCCTGCCATCCATGAAGCCGATGTAGCTCATTTAATAATCCCTTCCTTTCTTTTTTAAACTTTTCAGCGTTGCATTGCTATCGGAGCGCTGTGCCCCTTGTTCTACCCCCGGGCCCTTGACGAGCTCTCTGCTTGGAGGGCTCCCAGGGAGCTCTCTCCTGATTGTCCAACAGGCAGCCTCCTTGCGACTGGCTCAACTGAAAGCCCAGCTAGCACTGACGCAGATAAACAATTCTCTCGCTTTTGGCAGCCAGGGAGCAACATTTGCAACCAACTCCAACAAATCTATTCCCTACATATCTACAACGCCCCCTTGCCCAACTGCTGCAGCCATCAATCTTCTCAACCTTCTGAAGATTGCAAACACGATGTCCAATCCCCTGTATAACCCCTATGCCTCTGGGAACCAGGGGCAGTATGGACTCTCGACGACACAGGCAGAAAGGGACCCTCGGGGGGCATCGTCCTTTCTTGGACATAGTTCCAGCCTAAGATCTTCCGGAGCTTCCTCTGGAATTCCTGACAACTCTAGGCAAACCATACCATCATTGATGTCTCTGTCGAGAAATTACAGGCCTGAACAAAGTAGGTCTGCCATGGATGAAGATATAGCTAGCTCTGTAGACATGCACATTAGCAGAGCCAGAGAGGAGGTGAGGCTTCTTGGACGATCGAATGATCAGCCCATGGACCAGGACACTCGCTTTTCCAGCTCACAGAGGGATGAGTTTCTCCCCTTTCTGAGCACAGGAATGGACTCCTACCCAAAGTCATCAACCTCTGCCTCTCTGAGACATAGAGGCAATTTGGATGGTCAAAGTGGCAGCAGCTCCTTTGACTGTTCATCAAAGTACAAAACACCCACTGCTGACGACTCAAAATTTTATACGCCCTCTGATTTGTCTAACTACCCAAGAAGTGATGATGGTAGGTTTGATACCTCCAGTAAAAGAGAACATGAGGGACTCGGAGATTATGGCTATCAAGTTAATCACAGACCTGCAGCCTCTACAGAGTCCAATCGACCCAAGTACACATCTGAAATAGCAGCAAAAGTCCTTCTGCACTTTGGACTCGAAAAAGATGATTTGGAACATCTCATCTCCTATCCTGAAGACCAGATTACTCCTGCTAACCTGCCGTTCATCTTGCGGGAAATACGCCTTGAGAAGGACAAGAGATCAACAGCAGAAGTTCAGTCTAAAACCTTCCCGGAATCACATTCCACCAGAACCGTAAGTGGAGTGGACAGCTACAGTTTGAAGAGAACTGGAGAAGCAATGATGCATCAGCAGAAAACTCCATCAGCTGTTCCCCAGTCAAGCAATGTGATTGACTATGGACATACTGGCAAATATACAGCAGGGTCTGTGAATGAGATCGTAAGGAAAAGTGATCGAGACAGTGGTAGGATTGGTAGTATGATGGCGATGGACAGTACTGCTAGCAGATACAATCAACAACCACTGCAAACAAATACAACGGATTGGAAAAGCAGCGCATTGGATTCTTCATGTGAGCAGGCGAGTTCTTTTTCCAGTCTCATCTCCTCGCGTGGTTCAACATTGAGTTCTGCAACTTCTCAAAGCACTGATCAGACAAAACGTTTGCAGATCCACCCTAACCTGACTTTGCAGAATATCCTCAGCTCTTACTCTCTGCCAAAGAAAGATACAGACATCAGAGGTCTCCAGTTTGAGGACTCCCAACCTGTTCTTTTGAATCAACCAGAAGTAGATCGCCAGGCAAAATCGAAAACCCAACCACCATCCACTTTGTCCCATGGCATACATCCAAGCAGACCGGGCCTTGTGCTCATTGGAAGTAATGATGCCAGTACAAAGGATCCAAGTAAAACGAAAAGGTCAGTGGTTGTTGAACATATCATAAAGCAGCAGGGTAAAGAGACGAAGCAAATGCAGCAACAACCAATGCAGACGCAGATGCAGGTGCAGAAGCCCCAAAAGCAGCCGCTGGAGCAGAAGCAGAGTCAGCAGACCCAAGTCCAGCAAGTGCTGCAGACGCATCGGGTGCAGAAGACCCAGAAGCAGCAGCAGGAACAGAGGCAGAGTCAGCAGACTCAAGTGCAGCAAATGCAGCAGACGCAGATACAGGTGCAGACAAGCCAGAAGCAGCAGATGGAGCAGAAGCGGAATCAGCAGACCCAACTGCAGCAAGTGCAGCAGAAGCAGACGCAACTGCAGCAGACACAGGTTCAGCAGACACAAAAGAAGGAGATGCAACCTGTTTCTCAGGCAGGACAAACAATGTGGCCTCCAGTTTCTTCTGCTGCACAATCAGTTCCCCCTATTCCATTCCATCCTGGGATCCATGGAAATCCTCGCCCCTTCGTTCTTCCTCCAGTTCATCCTCAGCCACCTGCGGGCCTGATTCTCTACAATCACTTGGCGATGCTGTCCTCCAACGCGCAGTCTTCAGCCAAGGTGGTGGTCTCCAAGGATCAGCCGACACCAGCCATGATGAATGACTATTCGGCTACGACCCCAAGACTCTTTCCACATACCTGTTCTCTGTGTAACAAAAACTGTACTAATATGCAGGTGAGTGGAAGACTTTTCTGTTCACTCTGAATTTTTCAAATGTGGGTTGTTGTCTCAATACTTACTGTTTTGATCACATGACAGTTTGTTACGCACTTGACCAGGTGACTTAGCTTCAAACCAATGTCTTGTTAAACAGGAGTAGTGACTTTCACTTCAAAACTAGCTGCTGGCAGCATGACAAGCTAAGTAGCTATCAGCTAGCATTTGTCGAGCTAAGACTTGCCAGTTCACACTGCTGCACCGTTTCAGGATAGTTTAGTCTCTTAACAGTCTGAACTATTCTTACCACTACTAGTTGATTGATATGATGTAACCACCAACTAAGTCAGAGCTGGCTGTTGATTGATGGTTCAGATTTTTATCTTACTTCAATCAAAACTGTTGTTACAACATCAATATTCAAAGACTGTTACTGAAAATGGGACCAGGCGGCTGAGAAGACCTGGCATGGAAGAATCTGCGAACGTGAAGACCATGCAGACCAGAAGAAGATGGAAGATGGTTGTTTCCCCCTTTTCAATTTGATTTATGTAAATCAACAACATGATGTTGCTTTGATTTATTACATTTGTTGTAACACTGGCTGCTTTTGCAAAGCAACGCTGGCCCCTTTTTTATAATTTATTTTACCCATTTCCCCGTCCAAGAAGACGTTCCACTTACAACTTCAAACGTTATGAAGCCGGAGCTACAAGCAAGCACTTACTTTTTTTCAGCCCGTCTTTTATTATTTTCTTCATTTCGGGAACATCATGTATTTTTTAAAATGTTAAAAAGGACATACCAGCTAAGTCCTCTCGTCAGTTTCCAGAGCATCCTGTCTCCACTCCAGATGTCTCTCCATTCCTGCTTTTGGCCTGATCCATCCTTAGGTGCGATCTCTGCAGAGGTGACCTTGGCGTACCATAGGACCCAATGATGCCGCAAACAGCGAGACCAGCCATCAACCAATTCTCCAAAACAAAGAAGAACTTCTTAGTTTTTCTTTTTGTGTGTTAAAGGCACTTCTATGTTCGATTTCTTTTACAATTAAGTCTTGTAAGTTCTCATATCCTCAAAAATGTGTCCATAAGAAACTTGTTCCTAATCGCCTCTTGCCAATATCCCAAATATAATCCTTGGTTTACACCAAAGCCATGAATGAAAAACATTGTTTCATCTCTTGTTTTTGTTTTCCACCACTTTGCAGTAGACAGACACCTCAAAAAAGCCAGATAAATGTTGCTCTCGTAGACTTGTAATTGTGGGTGTTATCATATCGCCAACAGGGCACAGACTTTGGACTGTCTGGGTTCTGAGTCAGGCTTTAGTTAATTGAATAAAACACGAGCTGTAGGTAAATCACAGAAAGACTATTAATGTGTTTTTCCCCCCCTGGGTACAAGGATTGGATCACGCATCAGAACACCAGCCTTCACCTTGAAAGCTGCAAGAAATTTCGAAGAAGGTGAGTCTTTTTTTTATCTTTGAAAGACCTCGTAGATTAGTCCCTGACAGCACATAATCTGGATGTGATGTAGTCATTTTCAAGAGAACGCATATCTGTGACTTCAGAGCTCCCCGAGTGCAGAAGTTAATTACCACTTATCGAAATGCAGAAATTGTTACCTTTGCTACAAAATGTGGCTGTCTACTTTCTAAATCTGGCTGCTTGAATTGTCTTTCCCACAGTTACCCTGACTGGGATGCTGAGAAGAATATCGGGTCCAGGTAATGTTTTTCCTCACGGCCGACGTCGGGCTGTGTTACTGATTTTACACATAACTTGACATTTGGTTTGGCAACTCATCAGCTGATTCCAACTCTAAAAACACCATCATTCACCTATGCCTTTGTCTTTGTTGCTATCATCAGGACCGCAGGTAAAGATGCAAAGTCCTCACCCTCAACCTCTGCACAGACTCGTCGACATGAGAGAACCAGGCATGAGAGTCGCTCCCGGTCCAAGTCAAAGAGCCCCCCTCGCCGCCGTGGCTCTGACGGTCGAAGGAATAAACGACGTAGTCCATCACGATCGCCTCATCGCTCCAGATACCATCGCAGGTCTGTCAGACATAAATTCTTGTATCAGGCACCACAGGGCCCTCTTACCCTTCAGACTATATTATCAAGATTCTGTTCCTACCCTTAAACCATGTGCATCAACATCATACCTTTAAAACCTTTTCCGGCATCCTCTTAGAAATCAAGATGTGTTGGGAGGTATTTCATTGTCACACTGGTCGATATGGACATTTTAAAATAGTTTGTCCCTTGTTTTAAATAGGTCCCGATCCCGGTCTCGTTCTTCCTCACGATCTCTCTCTCGCTCTCCACGGCGCGATCGGCGTATCCCTTCACGCTATCGGTCACGTTCAAGGAGCCCAGAGAGACAATCGTCCCCAAGGAGGAGTGGCAGGAGAGGGTCAACACCGAGAAGGAGCCGTGAGAGACGTTCAACACCGAGAAAGAAGCGTGAGAGGAGATCATCGTCGGAGTCGTGCCCTGAACGAGAGAGGAAAAGCAGCGCAGAGAGACTGGCTAAGAAACTCTTGGAAACATCAGGTATGAGACATTTAAAATACTTGAAGAACTCTTGGTCCAAAGTGAGTCTGACCAACTTCCTTCTTCTCTGTCCCTCTAGGTATCCAGTCACTGTCAAATCAGAACGACCTGGAGGCCGTGGTTAAAAGTCTTGCTCCCGCCTTAGTGGCTGAACTATCCAAGATAAAATCCTCCTCCTCCTCTTCCTCCGGTAAAGGATGGAAACGCTCATCTTCTCCTCCCTCTGCTGGAGGAAAGAGATCGTCTGCATCATCCTCCTCTACAGCAAGGAAGGAGTCTGCAACGAACGCCTCTAAAGCAAAGCCCAACCTGCAGAAGAGCGAGGTAACAAAGACTTAACCTGAAGTGTGTGAACCCAAAGTAAAAGTCTTTCTCCTTCCACTGTCCGCGACTGGCTGTCGCGGATAGGAATTCCACCGCGGTGATCCAGGGTGGCCCAATACCGCGGTATGCGGTATTATGGCATCCTTTATCTTCCAATCCTTTTGTGAATCAGGAGTCGGCAATAAAATAAGTAAAAGTCACAATCAAAAAAATATTGCAACCCAGAGCTCAAATAAGACGTGTTTCGTGGTTTCACACAGATCTTTTTGGAGCTGATGTTTTTCAAATTGCATCGTCTGAATGAGCTGATTCTCCTTTTCATTTGGCTGAGAGACAAAATGTTAACAAAGGGGAGAAGCTACATTCGGTTTAGGTACCGGTGCAGTTGCCATTGTTTCCTTCTGACCACGAGACGGGGTGGGTTGACTTCAGTTGCGGTGGTTGTGGCGGTTTGCCTACGTTCTCCACAGTTGGCTTGTTTTTATACTGCGGTATTTCATTTCAGCGGTTACCGCGATAACCTTACTTCTTTTCTAGTCCAGAGACAAATATGTTCAGCACTCGTTAACGATGTCCAACACTGTCTTTGTTCTAAACCTGACTTCATGTTCTCTCTCTTATCACAGTCTAGTAAAGCGTCGCCTCCGACCATGGTGACCCTGCAGGGGATTTGCCCAGCTGTCTCTCACAGTGAACTGCTCTCTGCCGTGGAGCAGTTTGGAAAAACAAAGTCGGTTGTTGTGTTTCGGGCCAAGATGGAGGTACGTGTGAGGAGTCTGTATTTCCTTGCCTTAAACTTTATCTTTGGTATTTGATTTCTCTGATTCTAAATGATCAAGTGTTCAGTCTGTATCCAGTCCTTGAAACACGCCTGTGTTTATTTACACAAAGGGCGTGGTGATTTACGAGAAAGAAGAGGATGCTAAAAAGCTGAAAAATTTGAAGTCATTCTATGTCAACAGAATCCCTCTCACTGTTGTCAAAGAAAAGGTATTTCACTTTCCACTAGTTGTTTTTTTTTACATTTTTGACCCCTGGGAATGTTAGCTTTCCACTAGTTGTTTTTTTTTTTACATTTTTGACCCCTGGGAATGTTAGCTATTAGCATGTGTTAGCACTCTGTCAAGGTTCAAGTTAATCTAAGATCTGAATTTGTTTGATCACAGGTGACTGTTTGTAAAGAGGAGAAGACCCCTCCTCTGAAGTAAGACATGTTTGGCAAAGTTCTCTTCTTATGTGATTGAGTGGTGGACATGTTCCTCTTGTGTGCCTGAGTATCTGGCCTTAGTGGAAAGTGTAGTGTCGTGCAGATATACTGACCTGAGGCATTCTTTATGCATGTAAAGGTTTTATATCTGTGATTTTGAAATGGTATTGTTCATATGAAAACAAATATTTGATCAGTAATTCAACTTTGGCCTTTTTAAAGGTCACATATGTTTCAAAATCCACTTCACCATGTTTCTCTAACACTAATGTGTCCCTAGTCAGTCTACAAACCCCCCCAATGATGAGAAAAGTCCATCCTCTCTGTCTTCTGCCTGCTCCACTTTTCAGAAAATGTGTGCTCAAACAGGCCGTTTAGAGATTTTCCCATTTATGACAGGGTAGTAGCCCCTCCCCCAGGTGGGTGTCACTCCAACAGCTAGGTGTTTGTTCTGCCCTCTGAGTCTGCCTTCTCACCGTAAACAATAGGACATGGAGCGAGAAAGCACCGAGTACACCCAAGACCTTCCAGAGAGGGGGCGTGGTCAGACACAGCTCATTTACATATTTAAAGGTACAGACACAGAAACAGCCTGTTCTGAGCAGGGCTGGATCAAAGTATTTAGACCAAGAAACTTCACAGACATGTTTTGAGGAGCTCTGGGACTTATTTAAACATATTGATGAAGAGGAGAATATGTGACCTTTAAAATGTAGGACATAGAAAAGCATTCAAATCATTACCTTAACTTCCCCCCTTTTTTTCTTAAAGAAAACCTGAATCTACCACGCCTAAAGCTGTACCAACTGTCACAAAAGACAAAAAGGCGGTTTCAGAAGCGAAAAACATCTCGACCCAACAGAAAGCCAAAACTCTACAAACTGGATCGTTGTCTACAGAGGGAGCCTCAGTGTCCAAGTCAGAGTCTCCTGGAAACAAGCCTGCATCTGAAAAGTCTAAGACCACTGTTAAAGAACCTGGAGAGGAGCTGAAAGACAAACCCAAAGCTCCAGAACCGGTGAACGCCTCAGAGGTTAAAGTAGAAACGATCTCAACAACTCAGAAACCCAGAACTCCAGCGGACAAGCTGCCTACAGGAGAAGCTGCCACTAAAGAAAGTGTCTCTGAAATAGCTCCAAAAGATGCAAAGAATCCCAGTAAATCCACAGCTCCAGATCATCAGTCTGATGGGGCAAACTCCAAGCCCAAAGAATCTGAAACTAAGCTTCAAGAGTCTTTGGAGGAGCTGAGGGACACGGCCGAGGATGTTGAAAAAGCACATGAACTAGTTGTTGGACCCGAGAGTCGAGGAAAACCTGACAAAGCTGAAGATGCAGATGAACCGATGGAGCTCGGGGTGTCAGGAGGTAAAGTATCAGAACCTGTGGAAGTCAAAGGGGAAGAAACAAGTTCAGAGGCTGCACCAGAAAGTTCAGCAGACAAACCCGGAGAGAGTCGACCGCCAACTGGTTCAGATGTAGCATCAGCCAAGGATGCCTCCGAAGCATCTGACAATGTCTCAGCCGAGGAAGCTGCACCCCTGACAATGCAGCCGACGGCTTCAGTAACATGCGAGCAGCAGCCTTCTCCTTCAGCGACAGTTACCCCTCTGACTGTCGGGGAGAAGGTCGAAAAGCTGCTAGATACAACGAAAATAGGTAAAAATCAAATCCAAGAATCTAATCGAAATATCTTCATGTTGGAAATTGGAAAACATTGAGCTGTCTTTTGAGCTTTTTTAAATTAAATTATAGATTTAAATGTTTTCAAAATCATCTCATTCAAACTTTGGTTTATTTTTTTTTTTACATTTTCACAACATCCAGACTTTTAAGGAGATGGGTCACCTCTTGTATAAACTCCTTTCCCTTTTATTTCTTATAATTCTTTCCCTTTTTACAGGCTGCTTCAACGTAAAGCGCTGCTTCAACCAAAAGGTAAGTTCCCTCACTTCTATGTTGTTACAGAATAAGTCTTCTTTAGTTCAGTTTTCAACCAGAAGATAAGAGGCTCGATTAATCTCAGGCTATTTTGTCCCTTCAGGCTCTCCGTAGATAGTGGTCCTCAGTGTCTCCCTGTAGTCTCAGTGATGTAAAAGAAGGACACTGCTGCATCTTTGAATGTCTCATTTCACTTTAACAAACTCTCAGACAACTCAGCTGACGAGTCCAAAGTAATATCCATCTTATGACATCACACATTGACCTTATGACATCACACATTGACCTTTGAGCTGTTTGACCTCAGTTTTCAATCCATAACAAGAATGTTTTTGATTTAAGATATCCAAAACTGACTCTCGCCTCTTATCCCCATTTTAATGTATTTATTTGACAGTTTTCAAAGCTCGGCAAGAGGCAGCTGCTCGTATCTGATCTGCCCGAGTACAACGACGGCAGCTACACAGAGGACGATGTTGCCAAGCTGCTCACTCCTCTCGGGTTTCGACACACGGACAACAGCATCTTTGTTTTTCCTCAGGCTCGAGTGGTATGCACCCAGTTATCCCTCTATCAGGCTGAAATTTTTTAACCATATTTCAGGGTTTGAAATGCTTTTGAAAAAGTAAAAAAAAAAAAAAAGGGACTAAAGGAAGTGAAATTTCTTCCCACACTGCTGTTTTTTTTCAGGCTTTCGTCATGATGCCGACAGTGAAGAGCGTACGTGATGCGCTGAAGGCTTCAGTTGATCACTGTGTTGTTTTGAAAGGATCTCCACTCCTGATCAAGGTGTTGACTGGAAACCAAATGAATGAACCGGTAAGCATGAACACAACACTTCTGTTGTTCAATGATTTCTACATACTTACGAAGTTTTCTTAAAAGATCAGTGTGTAACTCTGACACCTAGTGTTTAGAATGGGTACTGCAGTCCAAATTCAAATCATTGTAGAGAGCTGTCTCACACAGGTTGCCATGTGGTGGACACTGAAGCTTCAGTGTTTATCCAGCTCTGCATGGGTCTGTAAACCTTTCTGTGTTCTAACCTCTCTCCATTTTTCAAAAGCATCTCCAATATTGATCCTAGTTTGAGCACGTTTCTGCTCGTGGAGCTTATTAGAAACATGCAGAGGCTTTTTAGGTCGGGTACAATCACTTCTATCTGAACCACTTCTCTTGCCCGCTTCCATCGCTGCAACACCTGTTGACCTGATAACTGCTCTCATATCTGGCAAACCGAGGGGCGTCCAAAACAGGCCGTGTGGGGGGGTCGCCTTAAAACTTCCTACCTTCTCTGGTCAAACAAATCCAGAGCATTCAGGAGCAGAATCTAAACTTAGAAGGAGGACATACTGGCTGCTGCATTGTTGTCAGAGAAGCCAGCACTTCAACATAGCATGTTTCCTTAATGTCTGATCATATAGTAAGATACCTTTATCATTTCATCCAGTACATATCTTACTGATTGGCCCTTTAACTGCACAGTATCCAGAACTGTAACTTTTGCAGGTAAAATAATGAAAGGATTTGTTAAATTGTTTGAGTAATATCTCTGATGTTTCTCTCGTAGCTCGGTTTATATACCACCCTGATGCAGCTGATGAAGTCTGTAAGTAAAACACTTTCTTCATTGTCAATAATCCATCTCCATGTTTAAGACTACACTAAATCATCCACACTAAATATTTATCATTCTGATTCCACAACTGTCCGCTTTGAGTTGGCGTCTTAATCCCCCCTTTGTGGCCGCTTCAAAATGTTCTGTCATTGTGAAACATTCTGTAAACCTGTGTCTCTTTCCTTTTATCTCTTTGGTTTGGCTGTTCACTTCCTGTTCTGAACTCAGGGTGAGATGAGTAAAGGAAATAAAACAGTGCTGATCAAGAACATCTCACTGGAGGAGACCAAGGAGCTCAGGGAAGCTTTGAAGGATTTTGGTTCTTTCAAGAACTTCATGCCTCTCCTCAACAAGGTATTCACAACAATATGCAAGTACATTAGTCTGACGCTGACTTCCTGTCGGTCTCACATTTAAGTGTGTGTGTGTGTGTTCCAGGTGTTTATGGAGTTCAAGACAGTTCAAGATTCTGATCGGTTTATAGGTTGGTACAGTCTGTTGAAACCAGGGCGTGGCCACGAAGTACACAAGATGAATGAGTACCAATGCAGCGATTTAAAAACAGGTAAGTCTTTGTTTAAGATGGTGACCAACCAAAAAGAGGAGCCAACGAGATGAAGTTCTTGTCGGCCACTTCACAGACAGAACTTAGTATTCTGTGCTCCTTTGACACTGTGTACATTTTGGTACTTCCTGTTTCATTTTCACTGGTCGTAGTTTGTTGATAATTTTTTATTTCATGAACATTGATGACTGCAAACTGCTCCCATAGGATTTCCCTCCTTACAAATTCTCTGTATCTCACAGAAGCCGTATCGGCCACAGCTCAGCCGAAAGCTGCAGGAGAGAAGAAAGAGGAAACAGCATCGTCCCCTCACTCTTCTCCTGATGGGGAGATGGAAGAGCCCCAGCACCTGTGCAAAGAGAGAACAGGTAAGATATCCCTGAAGGACATTGAGTTTGTGTAAGTATCAGTTCACTAAGTGTTTACATTACGTCTTTCTTACTCTCTTGTGTCTCCTTCAGAGGGTCTACCGGAAAACCCTCGCCTCTCACCACAGGTAAGTTTTATGAAATGATTTGCTTGAAAAACGACAGTCTAGGTCATTTTGTTAAGTCAAATTATTTACAAGATAACAACCACTTCAAAAATATCTGTAGAATCAATGTAGAGCTATCATAAAGATGATTCATCGAGCCACATTTTGACTTCTTGTAGATGATCGTGAAAGAGGAGCCGCAGACAGCTTCGGTCTCAGCTACAGATACCCTGTCTGTCTCTGTAGTCAGCAGTGGAGATGTAGTCCCTGCTGCTTCCAGCCCTGATCCCTCATCCACAGTGCCCATGCCTGAAGAAGACCTTGCAGAATTCCCTCAGATTGACACCGAAATTTTACAGGCGCTCACGGCAGCAGTGCGCCAGCACAGACTCACACTAGCGGCAAAAAGGTTGAAGAGGAAGGAAGACGAGGTGAGGCCTGGATTTAGATCGTTCAGTTTCATCTTCATGGTGTTTTTTTTCAGAGGCAAAATGTGGAGACAAGATTAAAGGCGGGGTTGGTAATTTACTCCAGATTAACTTTTTAAGATTTTGGTTGAATTTGTCTTTAGGTCCTGACAGAAATTAATAACTCATCTCAAAAGGAACAAAGAAAATCTGTCATCTGTATCAGTTGTAAGCCTGTAAAAACTTCGACAATGTCTGCCACGAGTTACCAATCTGATGAACCAATCACACACCTCCCTGTCTCCTGCTCGTTCTCTACCTCTTGCGTGCTCTAGCTCACACTCAAAGCTCGTCACCGATGACTTTAGGAGTTTATACTGAGAGTTTACTACCGCTGAATGAGACATGAGACGACGTAGTTTCTACACAATGAAAGAGATGAGCTGAGGTCCGCTTCTGGAGGGACGGCGCTCGTGCATGTTATTGAGGGCGCGTGGCTTATGAGGGAGCATAGAGGGGAGGGGGTGGGTGCAGATGAAGCAATGAGGGAATGCTACTTTCAAAATCATGATAGTTTAAAAAAATTACCAACCCTGCCTTTAAGTGTCTAAAGCTAAAAGAAGATTTCAGCAGATGTTAAGACTGTGCAAATAACATACACTTCTTTTTCTGTCAAATTTGATGTAAAGACCAAAACCAGCTGTTAGATACAATCGTTTTGTACGTGTGAGAAGGTCTGACAACAGTGTTCTTTTGTAACATGTCCAAAAACCTTTCAATCACTTGATATTAAAAAGAAAACATACTTATCCTTAGGGTTCTGGTGGAAGCAACACATACTCAAAAACATCAACAGCTGAAGCCGGATCTGAAAAAATGGTAAACAGGCTTCTTGTATCTCATTAGAGCAGTTCAGTTTATGCAAAAGTCTTACAATAATGCAGAACATTCAGTCTTGTAATAATCAGTAATTGACTCTTTCGTTGTTCTTCATCCAGGGTCAGGACGATCTTAAAGATGCCGCTTCTTCAGATGCAAATCTCATTGATACAGAGAATGTGAACATGGAGGAATTTGTCACTGTTGATGAAGTCGGTGATGAAGTTGAAGACCCAAATCAGGAGCCTCATCACTCCTCCTCATCCAAACATTCCTCCAGAAAGAGAAGAGAGAGGCAGAGTTCAAGTGGACAACGGACCTCAACGAGGTCTTCGAAGGACTCCAAGAGCTCATCCTCTTCCTCATCCAAATCAAGTAAAGGCTCTGACTCTAAAAACTCATCCGAGCACAGCAAATCCCCAACCAAACCTTCATCCTCCAGTGCCAGTAAGTCCTCCTCCTCCTCCTCGTCTTCAGGGGTGACTGAAACTCCTTCCACCCCTGATAAGAAAACACAACAGAACAGGACAAAATCTCCCGTCAAGTCATCAGATACAACAACCTCACCGAGGACCCGCTCATCAGCTGCTGCACGAGAGAAGACTAAATCTACAGGAAGTGTTGAGGCCTCTTTAGAGACTCATCCAGAGAAACTTAGAGAAGACACAAAGAGTGTTGAGGCAAAGTCCGTCCACAATGTGTCAGCAGAGGGCGCTGCTGCAGAATCTGTGGAGTCAGAGATGGAAACCTCAATGGTGAAAGGTTATGGCGACCAGGACAACAGTTTAAAACCCAGACCACTGGGCCCAAGGAATCCCAGACTCTGAATCATAGCTTCCAGATCTTGGACAGTATCGATGATGAACCTAAAGCCCAAACAGAGGCGTCCAGTGAAATGGGAATGGATCTTTCTCACCAAGGTCAAAAAGACAGCGACATGGTCCAAGACGACGGTTCCAGAGTAATGCAGCTGCCAGAGAAAGATCAAAGTTCAGAAGTGGATAGTTCTGTAAAGGAGGGTGGGGAGAAGACAAAATTAAAAGACGAAGAAGTCAAAGGCAAAACCCAAATCCCAAACGTAGACCAGCCTCTTCGGGAAAGTGTCAACAAAGACATTTCCAAAAGCCCTGGCACTGATGATACTGCAAAAGAAGGCTTTGAGATATTGGATTCAACTGATGAAACCTCAAGTAAGCAGATATCTACAGACGACAAAGGGCAAAGACTAGAGGAGGAAGACACTTATCAGATCATTGATTCTGTGGAAGAACCGCTAACAACTACTGAGACCGAGTCAGAGACTGACAAAGGTAGGAAAAAGACAAAGAGGGGAGAGAACACTTCAACAAAAGATGGTAGACCTTCAAGGAGGAGCGGCCACACAAGCAAAACATCCAAAAGAGATGAGAATGAGACGTCGCCAAAGAAACAAGAGAAGGGAGTTAAAACACTGACAAATATGGACGCCACTGGGGACAGAGAGGAGATGATGTTTGAGATAGTAGATTCTGTTGAAGACAGTTCAGATCAAGATGACACCACAAAAGACAGACCTGGTAGAAGAAGAAGAAGTACCAGAGGAAAGAAAGAGGAGACTGTGGGGAAAGATCTCAAAGAAGCATCTGAAAATCCAGATGGGGACGAGGAGGGTGCATTTCAGATTTTGGACTCTGTGGAAGGGGAGGTGGTTAATGATGAACCAGCCACTGCAACAAGATCGAGCAGAGGACGGAGGGACAGAACTAAGATAGATGAGAAAACAAAAAACAGGGAGGACACCCCAACAAGAACTAGGCGTACTCCTGCCAGGGAGGACACACCAAAGAAAGCTCCTCCAAAAGAGAACCCACCACAGAAGAAGAGTGCTGGTGTTGTAGAAAGGATAAGTGGGGAAGTTTCTACCTTTCAAATATTGGACTCTGTGGAGGACGAGGTTATTAAAGACGATGGGGCTGGAGTTAAAAGAAAGAGGGGAAGACCTAAAAAACAGGTTGAACCAGCTAAAAAAGAAGGCGCGACACCAAAGACGATTGACAAAGAATCACCTGACAAATTGGCCGAAGAAGAAGCGACATATCAGATTCTTGATTCTGTAGAGGATGAGTCAGTCGATGATGAGCCACCATCAGACCAGTCTGGGACGATCTTTGGAAAGATTGATGAACAAAAACAGAAGTGCGAATCTCACACATCAACTAAAAGTGATGAAGAGGAGAAAGAACCCAAGTATCAGATCGTAGACTCTCCTGAAGACGATCAGCTAACAGCGATGGGGGATTCCAATATTGAAAGACAGGAAAAAGCTAAGACAAAAGATGAAGAATCTGAAAGGGAAGGCACTCCAATTTCTCCTACAGTCACTGAAACAACCGAAAAATTGGTTGTCAAGAAGGAAAGTCCCCATTGGAGAGTTGATGGAAACGATGATCCGTCAGGTGCTGGGGAGAAGGAAAGGACACCCAAAATCGACATTGACAACAATGAACCATCACCATTCAGAACCCAGAGCGATACTGGCATACTTGAAAAAGAGGACAAGCAGAAGTCCCCTGAGAAGCAACAGACGCCAAGCGCTCTGGTGAACCTGGACAAAGTTAGCGACGAGGAGGAGGATTACCCCGACGACACGGCAGAGGAGGAAGAACTAAGGAAGCGTGAAGCTGCCGCAGAAGAGAAGCGGTCTCCAAAGGAACAGGAAGGAAGGAGCTGGAGCGGCAGCAGAGGACGAGGATATGGGAAAGGGAAGAGCAGGGATAAGAGAGGAGGGAGGAAAGAGGAGGAGGAGGAGGAGGAGGAGGAGGTTGATACCCAGGAGCTGGTTACTCTGGACGAGGTGGGGCCAGATGACGCTGTGGAGGACGGAACGCGAGATCAAGACTGCGATGGGAAGACCAAGGAGGGAGAACCTCCGGCACCCAACGCTAATGAAGTGACTGAAGGACAGGCTGAAGAAAACATGATGGAGACCAACCAGAGCCAGGAGGACAAATCAGTCAACACCTCGATCCAAGTAAAGTTCAAGATTTTGAAAAAGCATGCAAGTTTAGGTTCTTCCTCTGGGAAATTTAAGTTTCTAAAATTGGATGGAAGACTAATTTCTGTACTTGTGTTGTCCTCAAATACTATAAAAAGTCTTCCCACTAAGTGTGCCATTAAATGCACCAATTTGATACCATATCATAAGAACCTCACCAATGAAGACATACTTTGGTTATTGGATGGGTATTGGTCGAGTCCATTTTGGAAGAAGCTGGTGTAGTACCATCTCAAAGGGAAACACAAATAAATCAGCCCTTTCAAACCAGATGCTAAAGATCTTCTGTGTTTGTGTTTTAGACTTTACATGAAGCTGGTGTGGTGAAGAAGAAGACCAACCGGATGAAAACCAAGCTGAGAAATCCTCCAGACCTGCAAAGCGCAAACACAATGAAGACAAAGGTGAGCGAGTCATGTGGTAGAGTTCACTATATAGAGTATAGAGCAGAGAGAATATAGCTGTATTCCCACAAGATGGTAGAAGAGATGATATGTCTTTTTATATTACAGTGTGATTTATTTTAGTCGGGGTTTTGACCAACCACGTTATACTTAACAAAATAAAAGCCTCTCCTCAAAACCAGTGTTCATCCAATAATTAATTCTCTTTTTTTTTTTTTTTTAGATGAAAGTGTGAATTTTGTGACGGTGGACGAGGTCGGAGAGGTGGAAGAAGAAGAGGAGGAACAGGAAGCGGTAACATCCAAGAGAAGAGGTCGAGGCAGGAGAACCAGACGGACTCCAGGTGACACATAAGAACCACACAGATCACTATGGTTTATATAAAGCCAAGGAATTACCGGAAATCTTGCTGTTGACCAATCATGGAGCTCCTACCTCTATACGACACACTAAACAGATGATTATTGGTAACATAATCTTACATCTCTGTTTCTTTACTTCTTCTGACAACAGTGAGGAAATCCACCAGGAGCAAAACTGTGAGCACCAAAGACCAAAGAGAAGAAGAAAAGGAACCAGCTGATGAACTGCCATCCTCTTCACTTGAAGCCCCCAAACCATTGGACAAAGAGTCAGCCAAACTGTCACAGAGGTCCAGAAGACAGCAGACTTCCAGGAGACAGTTGAGGTCCAGGAGACAGAGGAGGTCCAGAAGACGGCGGAGGTCCAGAAGACGGAGGAGGTTCAGGAGACAGCAGAGGTCCAGGAGACAGCAGAGGTCCAGGAGACAGCTGAGGTCCAGGAGACAGTTGAGGTCCAGAAGACAGTTGAGGTCCAGGAGACAGTTGAGGTCAGGAGACAGCTGAGGTCCAGGAGACAGTTGAGGTCCAGAAGACAGTTGAGGTCCAGAAGACAGTTGAGGTCAGAGACAGCTGAGGTCCAGAGACAGTTGAGGTCCAGAAGACAGCTGAGGTCCAGGAGACAGTTGAGGTCCAGAAGACAGTTGAGGTCCAGGATACGGCACAGGTCAAAGCAGCTACCCAACCTGGCATTGACACCTCCTCTGCTGGGCCGGAGCTGCAGCTGGAGAGCAAAACTCTGGAGGAAGGAGACGGGGAGGAGGCGAACCAAAAAAGGAGCCGGGCTGCCATTAAAGGTATGGAAAACTCAAAGATGGATGGAAGGTGTTGTGTTCCAGACAGAATGGTGCTCGCTCTCCATCCCTCACAAGCTGCTGTTCGTGATTAGGAGAAGTGGATCTGTCTTAAAATGTTTCAGGAGGAAATTATGGGATGTAAATAATAACTCATTGATCAAGTCAAACTAAATCAATACAAGATGAAGTCTAAAATATATTACCAAAGATCAGACCAATGATTACTTCTTTTTTTAAACTTGACCTATTCTGTTGATCCCCATTTAAAAACTCACATATAGTGATACAATGCTGGATGTAAGTACTAAACATGGGCGAAGTTTCAGACCATGAGGTAAATGTATGTTGGAGTAATTCCAGGATGAGTCTGCAGGGGGCGCTAAACAGTCTTACATAGGCTCTCTTCTCCCAGCACTCGAGAGCAGCCTCCTCTGGCAGCCCTGCAGCATTCTACCCCCCCTCCCCAGAGGGCGACCAGATAGGTGGCCAATCAGAAGAAAGTGGGCACGTGGGGGGGCTTAAAGAGACAGCACCTGAAATGAACCGTTGAAATGGGATTTTTTTACTGACACCAGTGTGAAGATAAATAAGAAGTTTTCTGAGCAAAGTTACTCTAAACCTTTTAGAGAGGTGAACATGAAGTTGCAGTGTTTAGATAATGTGTCATGACAGGTTTTTTTTATGTCTCTCTCTCTTCTTTAGTGGTGAATAAAAGCAGGAGGGAGCTTCATGGAACTGAAGCAAAGCGGTCTCGTTCTCAGTCTCCTTCTGTCCCTGCAGACTTCAAACTGCCAGAGTATAAACCCAACAACCCCCTTGGTGAGTCACAGACGCTTACACTATATATCTGTAAACAACACGAGATGAAAATGTCTCGCTACAGTTTCAACTTTTCACTTCTCTCTCTCTCTTCAGGTCAGGAGTTTGTCGTGCCCAAATCTGGTTTCTACTGCAGCATCTGCTCCGTTTTCTACCTGAACGAGAGGACGGCCAAGGAGCTCCACTGCAGCAGCCAGAAGCACTACGACAACCTGCAGGTACACACACACACACACACACACACACACACACACACACACACACACACACACACACACACACACACACACACACACACACACACACACACACACACACACACACACACACACACACACACACACACACACACACACTGAAACTCACTCTTATTTACTTTTCTTTTTTTTAACAGAAACATTTTCAGAAGATTCAAAAGACGTCCCCGAGAGGTTCATCTCAATGTTCTCAAGGCTCTGTGTCCGATTGATCCAAACTTAAGCTCCTGGGTTTTTTTTTCGTTTGAATGTATGGAATGACGCAGTTGGTTCGAGTGGCACGTATTTGATTTGTCCCATCAAACCTAACCTGTATTGAATCATGTTTTGGTGCCTCGCTTTGCTGCCTGCTGGTGCACAGCTTCCTTGAGTCAGTCGAGTCGAGTCCAAAATGACTTTTGTTTCCTGTTTTTGTACACACAGGTGTCAAAATAAAACCCTGTTACACAGTTATATTACTGTATATCTCTTATGTAAATATGACAAATGTTTTATTTTAGTTCATTCCTTGAGTTAAATTAAATCATGGTACACTTGTCTTATTTCACGTGAATTATGCAAATTGAAAATGTATTAAAGAGGTGTATCTTTAAGTTTCTTCGACATTGATCCTGTGGTGTTAAAGGTCAATAGTTTGTCACAAGGTCACAAACGTCTTTAAGAAAAAAAAAAAAAGGGTCCAACGTGTTGAATGGTTTCTGTTGTACAGTTTGCTTTGTTTAGTTTCTATAAACATCAATAAAAGAAAAACAAGTGACTCAAATCTTTTCTGTTTGAAGTTTTTTTTTTTTTTTAAATAAGCCCGCTTTGCAAAGTGGGTTTCTCTGAGAAGTCAGAAATTAATCAAGCACAACAATCAACCACTAAAACACATTTTTCTGTTCAGGAATGACAGTAAATAACAATAACTATAATTTGACATCTTAACCAAGAAATAGTAATGTGATTTTTTGTGATTTATTTTGTGAAAGTAAATTTGAAAATTCATGGATAAAAATAATAATCATATTTTAGCATTAAAAATATCATTTTCGTTAAAGAGCTTCTTCATACTGATGTATTAACCATTACAGAAACATAATAAAATATTATGGTAATTACCAATGCTGTTAATTTAGGACAGCTATGGCATAAGTGGTGGTCTAATACATTTGTTAAGCACTGTATATATACCATAATAATTATATACATATATATATAAAAATGTGTTATTGTTGAAGATATAAAGAAACTGTAGTGTCACTTTAAATCCAGAGGTAGGCGACAATACAACTAACCCTAACCCTTTTAAAAAAGCCAACAACAGAAGAAGAATAAAAAAACGAGGAGCTTTTACTTTGAAGGCAGGATTGGAAATCGGATGTGTCGACATGTTTTGACGTCTCTGTCCTGCACGCACCAGGAAGGTGAGTTTGAACGCATTAAAGCTGCAAAAATACACAGAAATAACAAAAGCCATGCAACAAAAACAACGTTTTAATGTAAGGGAGTCAAAAACAGCGAAATTCAAGTCTCTGTTTTTGGTGTTTGTCGCCCGGAAGTCGAGTTTAACGCTGTTTGATGCCGGTTTCTCTCCAAAAGAAAACTGCTATTAGTGGTTTGTAGACAGCTGCACGGGAGACAACTTTTACTATTTGAAACAAACGATGTTGTTGCAACAGATATTTTCATCTCTTAATCTGTGTGTTGCCTGTCAGGATGAATTATCATGTGTTCATTCATCTCTGTAACTGTTCTGGATATATGATATGAAATGTGTCCATCATCTGAGTGTAATTCTTCCTTTAGGTCTGAATAACCTGAATGTGAGGAGCCTTACAGAAGCTGCTCATCTATATTTGGATTGGAACCAGCTGCATGTTACCAGATCTGACAAGCGAAACAAGCAACCAAGTCTAAAAAATAAAAGCCCAAAAGAAGCGACTTTGCTCTTCAATTAGATCAATCTACCTGCCCCCCTTCAAAATAAATGACATTACCTTAACGACCTAACCCCTACCTCTCTTTGGAGGTAGTTAAGCCAAAGCCTGCTTCAAGTCTGTGCATCCAATGTGGCTGAGTGATTGGATCTCAAAGTGTCCTCGGGTTGTTCACACCTGCTTTCACTCGTGACCCAATCACCAAGACTCGAATTTGAAACTCAAACCCCAACCTTCCAGATGGTGGATCTTCGCTATCCATTAATTTTGATGTTCAGTCCCATTCAGTAATCCCTTCCTTTCTTTTTTTTACTTTTCAGCTTTGCATTGCTGTGTTGTTGGAGCGCTGTGTACATTGTTCTTCTTGAGCCCAGAACGAGCTTCCTACATGTATGGATCCAAGGGAGCTCACTCCTGATTGGCAAACATGGCACCTCCTTGCGTCCGTCTAAACTACAAAACCAGCTAATTGTGACTCAGTTAAACTACAAACTCACTTATGGCAGCCAGCGAGCAACCTTCGCAACCGACTATATTCCCTACATATCTACAACACCCCTTGCCCAACCGCTGCAGCCATCAAGCTTCTCAACCTTCTGAGTTGCAAACATCATGTCCCATCCACCGTATGACCCCATGTCTCTGGGAGCCAAAGGTCATCCCAAGGGCCATATGGACTCTCGACGACAGAGGCAGAAGTGGACCCTCAGGGTGCATCCTCCGATCTTGGACCTCCTGGTTCAAGCCCGAGTTCTTCCGGAGCGTCCTCTGGAATTCCCAACAATTCTCGGCCAATAATACCACCGTTGATGTCTCTGTCGGGAAATGACAGGCCTGCCGAGGACGAGGATTTTGCTAGCTCTGTAGACGTGAGATTAGCGGCGCCGGAGAGGAGGTGAGGTTTCTGGACCAGGACACTTCCAGCTTACAAAGGGATTCAGGCACAGGAATGAAGTCCTACCCCTGGTTGCAGTCCTCAACCTCTGCCTCTGTCGGACCTGGAGACAACATGGACACACAAAGTGACAATAAGCCCTTGGACTGGTTTTTGAACTACGAAAGACCCACTGCTGATGACTCGCCCCCTGCTTTGTCTAGCTCAGAACGCACTGAAGGCGGTACGTTAAATACCACCAATGAGTCCAATCTAGGGTTGGATCATGATGGCGATCCAGTGTCCTCAAAACCAGAATCCTTAACAGAGTCTGATCATCCCAAGTGCACCTCTGGAATGGCAGCTGATATCCTTCTGCAGTTTGGACTTGAAAAAGAAGATTTGGAACTTCTCATCTCCTATCCCGAAGACCAGATTACTCCCGCTAACCTGCTGGTGATTTTACAACAGATACGCCTTCAGAAGGACAAGAGATCGGCCAGCAGATCCTCGCGTAGTTCAGCGTCGAGTTCTGCAACTTCTCAAAGCACCGAGCAAACAAACCAGCCGCTCGCCGGCCTGATTACCTACGACCACTTGGCGCATCTGATTTCCGATGCGCGGTCTCCCGTAAAGGCGGCGGTTGCCAAGAATCGGCCGACGCCAGCTATGATTCAAGACTACTCCTCTGTCCCGCCAAGTGTCTTCCCGCACACCTGTTCTTTGTGTGACCATAAATGTTCCAAAATGGTGGTGAGTAGAAAACCTTTTTCTGATGTGGCTGCCAGTTTAGTATCTCAATTTTCATGTTGTTTTAAAAAAAAAAAAAATCTGTAAACGATAGGGCTTGGAGCGTGAAAGCCAAAGCCATCAAACAGGCTGTTTGGAGATTTTCCCTTCATGACATCACAAAGGGAAGTAGCCCCTCCCCCAGGTGGGTGACACTCCCACATCTAGGTGTTTGTTCTGCCCTCTGAGTCTGCCTTCTCAACGTAAACAATAGGACATGGAGCGAGAAAGCACCGAGTACACCCAAGCACCTTCCAGAGAGTCAGACACAGCTCATTTACATATTTAAAGGTACAGACACAGAAACAGCCTGTTCTGAGCACGGCTGAAATAGAGGGGTTTATAGGCATGATCAAATACAGGATCAGAGTGGATTTAGAACAAGAAACACACATGTTTTGAGGAACTCTGAGACTTTTTTACACTTTTTGAAAAGAAGGACAATATGTCACCTTTAATATACCACCAACAAGATACAAACTGAAGAGGCTGTGGGATAATAAACGAGCTGTACGTAAATCACCATGAATGGAGTTTTGTCTTTTTTTTTTCTCCCTTCTGTCAACAAGGATTGGACGCAGCACCGGATGAACGGCCTTCATTTTTCCAACTGCCAAAAGCTTCTCAGACAGTCAGTCTTTCTCTTCCTACTAAACTTTTTAAAGACACCTTGTTAACTTTGATAGTTGATAATCATTGCCATTTTTCTCAATTTGAGAATGTCCCAGAGTTCAGCAGTGAATTATCAAGTGTCTTAATATGAAACTAGTTGGCTTTTGTTAAAAAAATGTGGCCTCTTGGTGTCTAAAATGTGGCTCTTGGAATTGTCTTTCCCACAGTTACCCTAACTGGGTGCCTAAGGTTGATATGGAGACCAGGTAAAGTTCCTCTGCATGTCTTCTTGTGTCCTTTTACCAAAATATTCCAGAGTAAAACTGTATAATGACAAAAAAACACCATCATCCCCCTTTTTCTTTGTTGATATCCTCAGGACTGCAGGTAAAGATGCAAAGTCCTCAACCTCTGCAGAGACTCGGCGACATGAGAGAACCAGACATGAGAGTCGCTCCCGGTCCAAGTCAAAGAGCCCCCGTTGCCGCCGTGGCTCTGGCGGTCGAAGGAATAAACGACGATCCCGATCGCCTCATCGCTCCAGATACCATCGCAGGTCTGTCCGACCTAAATTCCAGTATCAGGGATTATGCATCAACCAGAGAGTCCTCTCACCAAGTTTCAACCCCTAAACCATGTGCATCAACACAACCCTCCTTTTTTTAGGTTCCGATCGCGGTCTCGCTCCCCACAGCAGGATCACCGGATCTCCTCGCGCCATCGGTCACGTTCGAGGAGCCCTGAGAGACAATTGTCTCCAAGGACGAGTGGCAGGAGATGGTCGACGCCGAGAAGGAGCCGTGAGAGACGATCGCCTAGGAGAAGGAAGCGTGAGAGGAGATCACTGCCGGAGTCTGAGTCGTGCCCTGAAGGAGAGAGGAAAAGCAGCGCAGAGAGACTGGCTAAGAAACTCCTGGAAACATCAGGTATGAGACGTTTAAGAACTCTTGGTCCAATGTAAAGAGTTTGCTCAACTGTACCGACCAACTTCCTTCTCTGTCCCTCTAGGTGTCCTCTCGCTGTCAAATCAGAATGACCTGGAGGCCGTGGTTAAAAGTCTTGCTCCCGCCTTAGTGGCAGAACTATCCAAGATGAAATCCTCTTCCTCCGGTAAAGGACGGAAAGGCTCCTCTTCTCCTCCCTCTGCTGGAGGAAAGAGATCATCTGCATCCTCCTCCTCTACAGAACGGAAGGAGTCTGCAACGAAAACCTCTAAAGCAAAGCCCAACCTGCAGAAAAGCGAGGTAACACAAAGACTCACAATGAAGTCTAAAAACAGTCTTTCTACTTCCTCTTTTTGTGTCGATGTGCCAGGATAAAATACCATTACCACAAAAAGCCAAACTCAGGTGATATTGCTCAGCACTGTCTTTGTTCTAAACCTGACCTCATGTTCTCTCTCTTATCACAGTCCAGTAAAGCGTCACCTCAGACCACGGTGACCCTGCAGGAGATTTGGCCTACTCTCTCTCACAGCGACGTGCTCTCTGCCGTGGAGCAGTTTGGAAAAACGAAGTCGGTCGTTCTGTATCGGGCCAAGATGGAGGTATGTGTAAAGAGTCTGTGTTTTCTTATTGGGATATATTGCTTTAAAGAGCCCATATTATGCCCTTTTTGGGGTTTACCTACTTTTGTACGTTCACAATAGCTAAAGTCCAAAAAAAGTGTCTGTTTTCATGTACTGCTCCTCCTTGCTCCCTCTCTGCTCTGAGTCCGTCAGCTGCACTCTGTTGTGCCCACACTGTTAGACCCCACGTGGGCCAAGTCTGCTCTGATTGGTCTGCCGATTCGCTCTGTCGTTATTGGTCAGTTGCTCAGCAACCTTCTCGGAAATTTCAACACGAGCTGCAGGGCTTGCTACAACGAGCCAATGGGCTTAGATCAGTGATCTCACACTGACAATGACGCCACACTGACAATTTTTTTTCGAGGGGGGCTAGAACCGAGTGTTACATGCAGCTAATGCTACAGCTAACAGGAGGAGGTAGGAGAAGCCGTGTTTCCGCGGACTTTGAATTTTTGCACGTAGATGTGCCTAAACATGCACAGGACACTTAAAACACACTAAAGAGCAAATAAAACCAGAAAAAGAAGAATATGGGACCTTTAAATTTGGACTTTTGGTGTCAGTTACTGGTCTGCATTCAGTCCTTAGAGGTGGAGTCAGTAGCATTTTCTGTTGCAGTTTGTAAACACATTCAAACGTAGCCCCTCCTCCTGGGCTAATCACCCCCAGAAGCCACGCCCACTGCAGGACGTAGTGTGTACGTTTACTGCTTGTACCTACACTGCAAGCTAACGCACGCTAGCACAAGCTAACCGCTGGTATTTGGCTCCTGTCCAACGGGAAAGCAGGTCAACGTGGCGGGTAAAATCCGACCCAAGGTTTGCCATCAGCGTTTCATCTCACTATAATTATATTTTCTATTCTTTGCCACTACATCCTCGTCCGTAATATTCGTCCCCCGTTTGAATCGCGTCCAATCCCTTTAGTTGAAGTCTGTATTTGATTTTTCAGGAAAAGCTTTAAATCATGACTTCATGACTGTGTGTTCACAAAGAGCTTTCTGCTTTGATTCTAGTTTCCCAAATTCAGAACGCACTGTAACTAAAACAAAGTGTAACCCAGAACTTTTTCATCCCTACCACTGTGAGTCCATAAAACTAAACGGGCTTGATGATTGTCGTAACCAAAGCTATGTTCGTTCACACAAAGGGCGTGGTGATTTACGAGAAAGAAGAGGACGCTAAGAAGCTGAAGAGCTTGAAGTCACTCTACATCAACGGAATCCCTCTCACTGTTGGCAAAGAAAAGGTATTCCAATTTTTTCTTTTACATTTTTGACCCCTGGGAATGTTAGCTATTAGCATGTGTTAGCACTCTGTCAATTCAAGCTAATCTAAAATCTGAATCTGTTTGATCACAGGTGACTGTTGGTAAGGAGAAGACCCCTCCTCTAAAGTAAGACATGTTTGATAAAGATCTCTTCTACATGTTCCTCTTGTGTGCGTTCTCTTGAATTAAATGTTTTATAGTCATGATTTTGGGATGTCTGGTTCACCGCAAATTTTCTCCAGCTTGACTCGATTCTTCTTATTTATTTTTTTTACAGAAAATCCGGCATGTCTAGTCCATCCTCAACTGAATCCAGCAATGAAAAGATTCATCCCACAAGTGTAACATCCAACATTAAAGACAAACATGTGATTTTGGAAGCTAAGAGCGTCTCAACCCGACAGATAGCTAAAACTCTACAAACTGGATCATCGTCTACCTCAGCCTCAGGGTCCAAGTCAGAGTCTCCTGGAAACAAGCCTGTATCTGAAAGGTCTAAAACCACCGTTACAGAAGCTGGAGAGGAGCTGAAAGACAAACCCAAAACTCCAGAACCGGCGAAGGCCTCAGAGGTTAAAGTAGAAACGGTCTCAACAACACAGAAACCCAAAACTCCAGTGGACAAGCTGCCTGCAGGAGAAGCTGCCACTAAAGAAAGTGTCTCTGAAATAGCTCCAAAAGATGAAAAAAATCCCACTAAATCTACAGCTCCAGATCATCAGTCTGACGGGGACAACTCAAAGCCTAAAGAATCTGAAACTAAGCTTCAAGCGTCTTTGGAGGAGCCGAGGGACACAGCCGAGGATGTTGAAAAAGCACATGAACCAGTTCTTGAACCCGAGAGTCGAGGAAAACCCAACAACGCTGAAGATTCAGATGAACCGATGGAGCTCGGGGCGTCAGGAGGTAAAGTTTCAGAACCTGTGGAAGTCAAAGGGAAGAAACAAGTTCAGAGGCTGCACCAGAAAGTTCAGCAGACAAACCCGGAGAGAGTCGACCGCCAACCAGTTCAGTCGAGACTCAGCCAACAGAAACGTCCGTCGAAGCTTCCAGCCAGGAAAGCGTCTCGCCAGAACCGGAACTGGAGACGAACACAGAAGAAGCATCACACTTGAAACATCAGGCTGCAGGTATGTCTGAGACTTTGGATAATGAGTGTAAGGGGGATCGTGTCCAAATCTGACATGCATTAGTTCTATCGCAACTACAAGACAGATTTCACAGAATCTTTCAAATCTTGATCATCTTGAAGGTCTGGGGATTTCAGCATCGGCCGAGGAGTCCTCCAAAGCCGCGGACACTTCTGCATCTTTGACCCCCCAGGAAACGGCTGCAGGGACGAGCGAGCAGCAGCCTTCACCTGTAGTTACCCCCCCGACTGCCGGGGAGATGATGGACACCCTCCTGGATGCATCGAAAATAAGTACAAATAAAAAAATTCCAACATGTAGACCAGCTTTTTTAATTTGAGAAATATCAATTTTATGAGTTTATGAACAATCTCCTTCTTCTGTTTCAGGCTACTTCCGCACAAAGTCGTGCTTCGTTCTCGACGTACGTTTCCCTCTCTTGAATGTTTGTCCCACAGATGTTAAAAAACCAAAACACATTCGGTTGTTCTCAAGTAACACCTCAACCATGTTTTTACTTCAGAAGATTCCGCAGTATGAATTAAATGGATTTATCATGTCCCTTAGTGGATGTATAAGAAGCCCAACTCTTCATGTTACTGTACCTTTAAATGAATGTGGAGCATCATGCTGAGGGGGCTGGACTGGTTTTGAACATCAGCGTCTTTATTTTTTTTCCCCCAGTTTTTAAAGTTCGGAAGGAGGCAGCTGCTCATTTCCAATCTGCCGAGGTACGACGTTTGCCGCTACACCGAGGACGACATTGCCAAGCAGCTCACTCCATTTGGCTTTCAACACACGGACGACAGCATCTTTGTTTTTCCTCAGGCTCGATTGGTAGGTTCCCCCAGTTTATTCATCTTCACTGCTTCTGAATCAAAGCAGCTTTTTTCTGCTCTCTCATGTTAGCTACGCACCTAACTACTAACTATGGATGTGAGCTGTAAACTTATATAAAACTGCAAATTTATGCTGTCAAAATGGCTTTTTTGGGCTTGTGTGACTTCCTGTGTTTCTGCTGCTAGCCTCAAGCGGACACTCTGCACTTCCGCGTTGATTTAATTTATCAAGACTGGAGGTTGCTGCTTGGTGCAGACGGAGCACTGAGGGAATGCTACTTTGAAAAATCATGCTAGTCATCAAAAACTACCAACCCTGCCTTTAAAAAGTCATGAATGTGACACCGTTTGGTTTTAAATTCATTCCAGTTATGAATCGTTCTCACTTCTTCTTCTTTCTGTCTCTTGTGAGACGTTCACCTTCTTTTTTTTGTTATCGTCATGAATACACGTCTCCATATGGCGGAATTTAAACCACATTTTTTGATTTGAAATGCTTTGGGGGTAAATAAAAAAAAAAGGTTCTTTAAGAAGTGATAACATGTCCCCCCCGGCGTTCTTTTCAGGCGTTCGCCTTGATGCCGACAAAAGACGACGTACGTGAAGTCATGAAAGCAGCTGTTCACCATCGCATTCTCTTGAAGGGGACTGTCCTCTGGTTTAAGGTTTTATCCTCGACCAAAATGTACAGCCCGGTGAGCGTGCAACTCGACACTTCTCGATGAAAGGATTAGTCTCCTTTCTCCACCAAGAGTCTGGTGTTGTAACACTGCACTCTCTTGTTTCCCTTCCAGCTCGGGTTATATACGATTCTGATGAAGACGATGAAGTCTGTAAGTGAAACACAAGTTTATTAATCCCTTAATCTGTTGACCCATTTGTCAATATTTGAGTTAGCATCTTAATCCCCCCTTTTGGTCTCGTTAACGTTTACAAAAAAACTGTGTTCCTTTTTTCACTTGAACTGTTGATGTCCACTTCCTGTTTCCGACCCAGCCTCTGAAGGATGAAGGAAGTAGACTGGTCTACATCAAGAACATCTCCCAGCTGGAAACCCGCAAACTCAGGGAAGCGCTGACATTTTTTGGCTCTTTTAGGAACTTCATGCCTCTCCTCAACAAAGTAGGAACCGCCATATGCACGGACTTGAGTGTGTATCTGACTTCCTGTCGGGCTCACCTGTAGTCTATGTATATGTGTTGCTTGTGTGTTTGCAGGTGTTTATAGAATTTCAGACGGTCGAAGATGCCGATCGTTTTGGAGGTTGGTACAGTCGGGTAAAACCGGGGCATGGTCATAACGTGCAAAGGCTCAACGTGGACGAAGGCAGCTCTTTAGAAACAGGTCAGTGTTTCAGGACTCATGAGCTACAAAGCCCGTCATGCCACCATGGTGTCCTCGTTCCTCCTGCAGAACCAGACAAATGCTGCTTTTCTTTAGCCATTGTCAAAAACTAACCAAAAACAACTTGCTAGCTAACCTGGGCTAACATCTGTCTGGAGGAATATTTTTTTTTCCCTCCAGCTAAGCCCCACCCACAGAAACAAACCACCTTGTTTGCTAACGCTAAAAGAGTCAATACTGTACATTGGCTCCATGGATCGGCCCGTTGTCACAGATACCAGATCTAGCCAATCGAGTCAGTATCCGACTTATATCCAATCTCAACTTGTTTGTAACTGTTCGCCCATTTTATGAATGATAAGGTCATCATTGAACATTGATCTCTGTACTCTGCTCTATTGACCCTGCTGCTATAGAAAATGGATAAAGGGGGGCGTCATGGCCTTTTAAAGTACTGATACTCATCCTTATTCAATCTGATCTCTCAAAGAGCCCACGTCTGAAGAGGAGAGAAGAATGGAGGAATCCTCGGCAACGATTCCTCTAAAGCTGCCAGCAGAGCCTTGGCTGTGACGACTGAAGAAGCTGCAGCCAATCAGCATCAAGCTAATGCCACGCCTTTGACCTGTGGAGAGATGATAGAAGAGTACCTGTGCTCCAGGAGAATTCGTAAGAAATCCCAGAAAGGAATTCAGTTTGTCTATAAAAAATGAAGTTTCAGTTTCTCACTCTTTTCTTTCTTTCCCCCCGTGTGTGTCTTTTCTAGAGTGTCATCCAGAAGAATCCTGCTTCACACCAAAGGTAGGTTCCACTAAATCAACAAAATATCAACAGAAATGTAGAGCTTATATAAAGACGATCACTTGGTAACGCAAGCATTTCATCATTCCCTCTTGTCTTGTTTTCTTTTTCCAGTTTTTGAAACATGGCCGCAACTTGATGCTCATAACCGAGCTGCCCAACGACGGGCGCTACACGGAGGCCAAGGTTGCCGAACTGCTCGCTCCTTTTGGATTTCGATACAAGGAAGACACAATCTATGTGGTTCCTCAGTCGCGCATGGTAAGCCCCGCATCATTCATCTGCACTGGTTTGGTTTCTAAATGTTAAATACTCAAACGTGTTTTATTTGTGATTTTTCTTCTTCTCAGGCGTTCATTTTGATGAACGACACCCAAGCAGTGCAAGACCTCCTGAGAAGCCACAAAGAGCGACCGCTCACTTTACAACGAACCAGACTCAGCGTCAACGTTGTCCTTGGCAGATTTAAAACGGAACCAGTAAGCATGTTTAATACTCAACAAAAAACCAAAGAGTTTAAATTAGAGAGCCCACCTGATTCATCATCTGGCCGATGTTAGCATATGCAGTGAATATCGCTATTGGCTAATTTTATCAAACAAAAGCATCAAAGTTTAAATAAATTATAAACCATTTTTTCTCCTGATGAGGCGTTTTTGTCTTCTGCTCTTAAGATTTATTTTTGGGATTTTAGTGCCTTTATTTAAGAGAATGGATAGAGTCAGAAATCAGGGAGCGAGAGAGAGGGGAATGACATGCGGGACAGGAGCCACAGGTCGGATTTGAACCTGGGCCGCCCACTTGGAGGACCATAGCCTCCATATGGCACTAACCACTGTGCCACCAGCGATCCAATTAGAAACTTTTTAATTTATCCTTCTGCTTTCTCTGTTTCTTGTTTAGATTGGCTTCTATAGATCTCTGATGGACCACATCGATTTTGTGAGTACTAGAAACACACACTCTTATGTTAAATAAGAGTGAGCTACACAGAAGGAAATGTTCTTTGACTTTCTACACGTGAGAAATGACTCTGATTGTTTATATCTATGTTTTTTTATGGTGGTGTGGTTTTCCTCGGTGTAGCCCGTAGCAGACGACGGGGCGAGAACGCTCTTCATCACCAACATTTCGTCGAGTGAGATCAGAGAGCTCAGAGAAGCTTTGATCAAAATCGGTTCATTTCGGAACTTCCTGCCTCTTCTCAACAAGGTAGAGACCGCACCAATAAAACTCACACACTGATCACTGATCGTGGATCTTACCGTTAAACCGTGTGTGTGTGTTTGTGTTTTCCAGGTGTTTATAGAATTTGACTCGTACCGTGATGCTGATCGGCTCGGGGTTTGGTACAGCGTTCTCAAACAAGCCCCCGGTCACGTAGTTCAGAGGTTGAAGGTACCAACCAGTGGCTGCACATCACTCGGCAAGTTTGTTTAAAAATTCGTGCTGGTGGCGCAATGGTTAGGCGCGTGTCCAATGTATTGAGGCTCTCGTCTCGGGAGGCCCGGGTTCGCTTCCACCCGTGGCCTCTTTCCGTATGTCATTTCCCACTGTCTCTCCCTGGTTTCCGACTCTATCCACTGTCGTAACATCATAACAGAACATATCGTAACTCATTCTAACACACCTTAACGTATCCTAACCTAACGTATTGCAACATAACGTAACCTAACTTATCGTATCGAAACGTAACGTAACCTAATTTATCGTAACGTATTGTATAGTATGGTAACCTAACGTATAGTAACATATCGTAACGTATCGTAATGTATTGTAACGTATTGTATGGTAACCTAACATAATGTTTCGTAACCTAACGTAAACTAACGTATCGTAACGTCACCTAACATATCGTAACATAACCTAACATATCGTAACCTTTCTTAACGCATCGTAACGTATCGTAACATATCGTAACGCATCGTATAATAACATAACCTATCGTATCGTACATTAAGACTAAGTCAAGAGTAGAGTGATAGAGGGAAACTCTGAAGACATATTGACAGTGACTCTTTGTGTCATCTGGTGCAGCGCCGAGACTTCCTGAAAACGCCTTTCCAGTCCACCAGGACATCATGGAGGGAGTAACCATCCCGCCGGCAGACGTCGTCATTCCTCCGGGCAGCGTGGCCCCGTTTTGGGTCACAATGAGAAATGTTCCCTTCGTCTTCCCAACCATTTCTCCTTGGTTCATCACCCCAGGTAAGAGAAAACGTTTTATTGTCTTTCTTTATCATTTTGACTCATTTAATGTGACCACAGAAAGATATGGTTGGCTGTTCAAGATCAGGGTTTACCTACCAAACTGAAAAAGAAAAAGACTCCGTTTAATAATGTCCCCTTTTACCTCCCAAGAGTACCAGACCATCAGGGACACAGGCGACATCGAGGTAAGCCGGCTTCTCGGACCTCTTTCAAAGTTACATCCTATAAAACAGAGAATCTAAAGGTACCAGAGTCATTCTGCAGAAGGATCAAAACAAGGTTTTGAATGTTGTATTTCCCAGAGAGCCAAAGACTCCTCGTCGTCCACCATCATGCTGACCGGTTTGCCAGAAGGAAACTACAAACATGAGGATGTGGCGAGGCTGGTGTGGCCATATTTCCCCCAGAAGACCCTTCACACCCTGTACTACAACGTGACAGTCCTACCGCTGCAGAGGAGGGTAAGAAGAAGTCGTCTACGGTCTACTGTTAAATGCATCGTCATCATATTCTCTATCGTATCGTATCGTAACATATCGTATCATAACATATCATATCATAACATATCATATCATAACATATCGTAACGTATCGTATCATAACATATCGTATCATAACATATCGTATCATAACATATCGTATTATAACATAACGTAACGTATCATAATGTATCGTAATGTAACATATCGTATTATATCAACGTATCGCAATGTACTGTATCGTAATTTATTGTAACGTAATGTATAGTATCATAACGTATCGTATCATAACATTGTATCGCAACGTAACGTATCGTATCATAACGTATCGCATCATAACGTATCGCATCATAACATATCGTAACGTATCGTATCATAACGTATCATATCATAACATATCGTATCATAACATATTGTATCGTATCATAACGTAACGTATCGTATCATAACTTATCGTATAACATTGTATCGTCACGTAACGTATCATATTCCACGTATCGTATTCTTTACAAAACAGAGCTGCTCATCCCATCTTTCCTCTCTTCACCTCCAGGCATTTGTATCTTTTGAGGACTCCAAAGCATGCCGCCATTTTGTCCGAGATCACATGGCAACGCCTTTCTCTGTCCAGGGCCGCACAATCAGGGTCCATATCGTGCTGCAGCACATGCATCCTGAATCCACTGAGGTATGGGAAAAAAAACGCAGCTCATTTACATATTTGACGGTATGTTCTGAGCAGGGCTGAAATAGAGGGGTTTATAGACATGATCAAATACAGAATACATGTCTACATTGTTGTTGGGGAGAGATTTGAAAAGCTGTCTTTGTTTATGTGTTTGCAGGAGATGATGTACATGAGCCTGATGAAGTGGAGCAACGCTGTAAGTCAAGAAAAAGTTTTGGCATGTGAGAGTAGCTGTCTTTAGTTACCTACATCGAGTTTGTTTTTCATTTGAATAAGGGAGTTCCTGATCACGACTCTCTGGAGGAGCGGCTGCTGTGTGTCGGGATCTCCGAGGCGTCCGCGGATGTCGTCAGTGTCGTCTTGGAAGCGGTGGCGTCTGTTGCACCTTTTGTAAACTTCCTGCCACTGGCCAACAGGGTAACACATCAAAGTCATTGAAAATGTTCTGATCACCTCCCTATCACAGGTCTTTTGCTTGTGAACAGTCTTTGAAAAGCTTTAACACTAATTCAGAAAACCATTTGATTCTTGAATACATTCACCTCTCCTTCTCTCTCTTCACTCTCTTCCTCAATGACCGACTTTCTTCTATCGCAGATATGCATCGAGATGGCCGATCCCGGCGCTGTCACCAAGGGGCTGAAGGCAAAAGAAAACACTTTAAGCACAAACACCAGAAAGATGGCGTCATGGTACGTTGGTCATTTTAAAAGTTCAGTGTATTCATGTTGAAATTTGTATTTTAATTCTTCTTTGTTAAACTCATCAACTCCTGATTCTGTCTCTTCTAGGGGAAAAGTGGAGCGCTTTGAGACGTAAGTATATCGATGACTCTGGAGAAATGTGATAGGCTTTTTTTTACCAATATCTGTCATTTTATGGAATAATTACTAAATCTACTGCAGAGAAAACACACATCAAATTGGCATAAACTAGAGAAAACTGATCTTCTCTGCGTTTCTCAGCGATTGACTGTCCTTTGTTGGTTTCAGGGTGAAGAGCCTAAAGCAGCGTCTCCAAGATTCTGCTCAAACACCAATCGAGTTAGAGCCAGCAGCAGTCAGTGTGGACGCCGAGCTCCCAGCTTCAGATTGTCCACCCGAGCATCCTCCTTCTGAACCTCTGGACAGTGGGTCACAATCTGCTCTGCAAACCAACAACCTTAAAGGATCCACTGTTTCTAAACCCATCGCTGCAGGACCAAGTTCTACTGTCACAAGTGAGAGTGAGGGAGTTCAGAAACCAGGGACGGAGGTGGACATGGACTCCACTGCTGGTTCCAATTCCAATGAAGGTGACAAAAAAATGAAAAAAATGGAAACGTCAGCAACGATCAAGAGGAACAAAGAGGAAGGAGAACAAGATGGTGATGAAACTGATGAACAGATTGGTGATGGCGTCCATGACATCAGCTCTAAAACCCAGACCACTGGGCCCAAGGAATCCCAGACTCTGCATGAAGAACGCCTCCAGATCTCAGGCGGTATCGATGATGAACGCAAAGCCCAAACAGAGGCGTCCAGTGAAATGGAAATGGATTGTTCTTTCCAAGGTCAAAAAGACAGCCACATGGTCCAGTCTGTGGAAAGACTGCTAACAACTCCAGAGGCGGAGTCAGAGACAAGACAAATCAATGTGGAGGACGGCGCTGCCAGAAACGAGAGCGGCCACACAAGCATAGCGTCCAAAAGTGACGGGACGGAGGAGTCGCCCAAGAAACAAGACGGGGATGAGACCAGGTCAAAGAAGGACACCACTGCAGACAAATCCGTCACCAAGAAGACAAAGAAAGAAGACAATCCGCTTCAAGTTGACGCCGTTAAGAAATGTCCTGTTAGAAGAAGTACGAGAGGAAAGAAAGAGGAGACTGTGGGGAAAGAACTTAAAGAAGAATCTGAAAATCCAGACAGGAACGAGGAGGGTACGTTTAACTTTTTTGGACTCTGTGGAAGGAAAGTTATTCAAGAGAGGGAGGTGTGGTCAGACACAGCTCATTTACATATTTAAAGGTACAGACACAGAAACAGCCTGTTCTGAGCAGGGCTGAAATAGAGGGGTTTATAGGCATGATTAAATACAGGATCAGAGTGGATTTAGAACAAGAAACTTCACAAACATGTTTTGAGGAGCTCTGAGACTTATTTACACTGAAGAAAAGGAGGAGGATATGTCATCTTTAATAAGAAGTGAAGTCCGTCGATCCGACGTGAACTAAAGATAACTCTTAACAACTGATGTCCCCTTCAGTCAGAATCAAGTTTATTTGCTAAAAAACATTTGATTTGTATTTTACTTGTTTCCTTCTCAGAGGAAAGTATGAACTTTGTGACGGAGGAGAAGGTGGAAGAGGAGGAGGTCAAGGAGACGGTAACACCCAGGAGAAGAGGCCGAGCCAGGAGAACCAGACAGACTCCTGGTAACACACGTGAACATTTCAGAAATGTTTTCGAATGTCATGTTAGTAATCACTAAAGTGGCTTCACTGTCATCCAAATAATGGAGCTCTGAAAACATAAAACGATGAGTTATTTGTGTCTCCTTCAATTCTCTCACACAACAGTGAGGAAATCTACCAGAGGGAAAACTGAGAGCACAAATGAGGAAAGAGAAGAAGAGGAACTGCCTCCCTCTTCACTTGATGCCTCCTCGTCGTCGTTGTTGGACGAAGACTCTTCTAATCGGTCAAGTGATGGCCATGTTGAGCTCCAGAAGACAGAGGAGGCTGCCTCTGCTGGGCCGGAGCTGCTACTGCGGAACAAAAGCCTGGAGGGATGTGCAGAAGAAGAAGAGGAGGAGGAGGACACAGAATGGAGCAGGGCTGATATTAAAGGTAGAGAGAGACAAATGATGGATGGACGGTGGAATATTCCCCAACAGAATCTGTATTGTCTTGCATGCTTTTCCCATCAATACAAAGATTTAACTTTTTTCTGTTTGTCTCTTTCTTCTTTAGCTTTGAATAAAAACAGGAGGGAGCTTCATGAAACTGAAGCAAAGCGATCTCGTTCTCAGTGTCCTTACCCTGCAGACTTCAAACTACCAGAGTTCAAACCCAACAACCCCCTCGGTGAGTCGCACTACGAGTTGAAAACGGTTTTGTCACACCCTCTTCCCTCCCTGTTCAACTTTCACTTCTCTCTCTCTCTTCAGGTCAGGATTTCATCATCCTCCAGTCAGGATTCTTCTGCAACATCTGCTCCGTTTTCTACCTGAACGAGAGGACGGCCAAGGAGAAACACTGCAGCAGCCAGAAGCACTACGACAACCTGCAGGTACACACACACACACACACACACGCACGCATTACCAGTCAAGAGCACTGAAACTTTTCGGCTTACTTTGTTTGTGTTTCCCATTTTTTTCCCCTCCAGAAATATTACCAGACGAATCGACAGATGTCAACAGAGTGTCCTTGAGGCTCTGCGTCTGACTGATCCAAACATCAGCCGCCATTTTTTAAGAAGTTTAGAGGGTCAAATCAAATTGAATTTGCAGCTTTATGGGCGACTGACGAGTCTGTTGAGTTGATCAGCAGCTATTCTACGCGTTTGAAAAAGTATCTGAAGTGTCTTTGTGTAAGCACAGTGTAAAGGTCGGATTTTCTCTGTAATAAAAAAATGTATATTTCTTTGTATATTTTGTGGCCATCTTTCTTTCTTCAAGAGGGAAATGTCCATTTTACAGATGACACATTCATTCAGAAGGGTTATCTTGAAATTCCCAAAAGCTTGTACATTTTCATTCAAACATCACAAGTTCACATATTCTGCAAAATCCACTTCACTATGTTTCTCTAACTCTAACATGTGTCCCTAGTCTGTCTATAAACCCCCCAATGATGAGAAAAGTCCATCCTCTCTGTCTTCTGCCTGCTCCACTTTTCAGAAAATGTGTGCTCAAACAGGCCGTTTGGAGATTTTCCCCTCATGACATCACAAAGGGCAGTAGCCCCTCCCCCAGGTGGGTGACACTCCCACAGCTAGGTGTTTGTTCTGCCCTCTGAGTCTGCCTTCTCACCGTAAACAATAGGACATGGAGCGAGAAAGCACCGAGTAAACCCAAGCGCCTTCCAGAGAGGGGGGCGTGGTCAGACACAGCTCATTTACATATTTAAAGGTACAGACACAGAAACAGCCAGTTCTGAGCAGGGCTGAAATAGAGGGGTTTATAGACATGATCAAATACAGGATCAGAGTGAATTTAGAACAAGAAACTTCACACACATGTTTTGAGGAGCTCTGACCTCGCACTCTGAATTTCTTAGGTGGAGGAGTTTCTACTTTAATTATTTAATAATGATGAAATTGTTAGACTGTAAAGTATCTCAGGAATATTTCAGCCAAGGCCAGACAAAGCAATAACATTGTATGTGTAATGTTAACAGCCTTGATTTTATATTCTGTACACAGGCCCGAGCCGAGAAATTCCTCTCCTCTTGGGTAGGCTACACTTCTCATATAGATTTCTTCAGCCTCAGCAAAACATGGTTCCCTTTTTACTTTCTCCAGTCCAAATATATATCTGCAGCTGCTGTAAGACAACACAAAGGCAGGTTACAGGGACCTGAAGGAAGAATTCCTCTCAGATGATAAGACAGATTTCAAGTAATACAGCCACTAAAGTTACTGAAATAAATGAATAAATGATCAGTGTGCTCGTTTTTTTTTCTTTACAAAATAAATCTGTATCTATTCTTGAATTAGTATGAAAACCTTTTTTAACTTTAAATTCAGATGTTGGCGGTTATGCTCCTATTAAATACATTACAAGCCTGGAACAAAAAAACGAAAGAAAAAAAAAATAAAGAAGCTTTTACTTTGAAAACACTTAAACCGGAAGTTGTAGAGTTTCACGGGGGGGACACCAGGAAGGTGAGTTTATACGACTGAAAGCTGCAGGAAAAATGCAACAATAACGCAGGGTATTGAACAAAAACATAATGCTAAATGTAATACACTGCACACAGAGTACTTACAGTCTCTGTTTTTGTTGCTATTCATCCTGACGGCGAGTTTTAAGTTTGTTTTGTAGCCGGATTCTCCCCAAAAACTAAAACTGTAAACAGCAGCACGGGAGAAGACTCCAGCCTTTATTTACACAGCTGTTTGTGGATCACCAAGAGTCTGTTGTTGATGTTAGAAACAAAACGATATGGTTTTAACAATGTCTAAATGTTTTTATTGTAAAAGTACCTTATTACGTTTAGGCTACCTGACGTGTATTGATCAGTCATCTGGTTGTTATTGTTGTACATTACATTACAGTACCACACAGTGGCTGCTCTAGAGTCTGTTGGGGCCCTCAGCTAAATTCACTGGTGGTGGGGGGGGGATCCTCAGATCCACTTTTTTTAAAGATTTTAGTTGAAATTGTCTTTAGGTCCTGACAGAAATTAATAACTCGTGTTCTCTGAAAAAGGAACGAAGAAAATCTGTCATCTGTATCAGTTTGTAAGCCTGCAAAAACTTTGACCAATGTCTGCCACGAGGTACCAAACTGAAGAACCAATCAGACGCCTCCCTGTCTCCCTCCACACTCAAAGCATAACCCTTTTCACACATACCGAAATCTCCAGAGATTTGGCTACCCGGAGGTTCTTTAGGCTATGTGTGAACGCAAACAGCCACATTTTTCACGCAGACTTTACCCGGAGTTTCTCCGGCAGACCCCGAGTATTTTTTCCGCCGAAAGTCTGAGTGAGCTGATGTCTGAACGCGGCAGCATATACTCCGGAGATTTCAACTTGAGTCAATGGAAAGAGAATGACGTTTATCTACAGTGACTGCCTAAAGTGTCTGCACGCGACCTCTACGATCTCCGTGCTCTAATTAAATGTCTGCATTCTGTTTTCTGTTCGTCAGTTGTTGTTCTTTTCTCTTTTGTGGATGTTGTCATTCCATTGGCCTACACATAGCATTGATATAAAGGCAAATATTCTCATTATAACGTTGTGTAGAGGACTCTGTTGCTATGGCCGCTACTTCCGCGTTGTTTATTTATGTCACGTCTTACCTCAGGAAATCCCCCGTCCCCCCCCTCCCCTCTGACAGGGAAAGTCCCCCGCTGTGAGGAGCATTTGTGAACGGCTAGGTCGGGAGAATCTCCAGAGAAGTCCTCCTGTAAATATCTAGATATTATCTGGAGTGCATATGTGAAAACGGCTCGTGAGCTGAAGTCCGCTTCTGACCAATGGCCTTGTGCATGTAAGTGAGGGGCGTGGATTTTGAGGGAGCACTGAGGGAATTCTACTTTCAAAATCATGCTAGTTTTTTGAAAATTACCAACCCTGCCTTTCAAGTGACACAATCAAGTTTTCACAGAAATATTGGATCGCTTAGCGGTGCAACCACATTGAGTACTGTCAGATGGGGCCTCCTAAGGGAGGTTATCTACTGTTATTGTTTAATTTGGACTTTCTGAGCCACTGCTGCATATGGTTTAAAGTTTGTCAGTCTGTGGCCCCCTACTGGCCAGGGGGCCCCAGCAGTTGCCTGGCTTGCCTGTTGACAGTTACCCATTCAATAATCCCTTTCTCTTTTCCCTCTCTCAGCTTTGCACTGCTGCTGGATTGCTGTGTCACTTGTTCTACTCATGGGCCCCTAACGAACTCCCTGCATTTATGGATCCCACGTAGCTCACTCCTGATTGGCCAACAGGCTGCTTTCTTGCGACTGGCTCAACTGAAAGCACAGCTAGTAGTGACTCAAATTAACAACGCTCTCAATTCTGCAGCCAAGGAGTTACCTTTTCAACCAACTCCCAACAAATCTGTCCCTTACCATCAATTCCCCCCCACTCTCTATCTGCTGCAGCCATCAGTCACATGAACCTTCAGGGGAGCTGAAACGCCATGTCCAATCCCCCGTATATCCCCAATGCCTATGGAAACCAAAGGTCCTCCCAGGCGTCATATGGACGTCTAATGAACGGACAGAAAGGGATCCTTTGGGGGCAAGTTCTTCTGGAGCTTCCTCACATAGACACAGCATGGACCTAAGTGACAATAAGGCCTTGGACTGGTTATTGAAATACAAAGCGAGCTTAGCGAGTGGTAAGGACAGGAGGTTAAGTACAGCCAATGAAAGGAAACAGGATGTAAAGGAAGCTCCAGTTGCAAAAAAAACGGCAGCTTCTTCAGAGTCCAATAGAGCCAAGTTAACCTCTGAAACTGCTGCTAACATCCTTCTGAAGTTTGGACTTGAAAAAGATGATTTACAGTATCTCACCTCCTACTCAGGAGACCAGATTACTCCTGCCAACCTGCCATTCATCTTGCGGCAAATACGCCTTCAGAAGGAAATCAAAAAGACTCGAGCACTTCAAGAAATGGAATCAGGACACCAGTCATCAACCTCAACATCTCCACCAGCCCACAGTCTTTTTCATGGTGTTCAGCCCAGCCACCCTGGCCTTGTGCCTACACCAGTTCCCCTTTTCCTCTTCATTCAGCAAATCCTTACCCAATGCTTGTTCCTCCAGTTCCTTATCAACCAACTACCGGCCTGATAACCTACAATCACTTGGCGTATCTCACTTCCAACACACAGTTTTCAGCAAATTTGGCAGTCTCCAATGATCAGCCGACACAAGCTATGATGAATGACTATGCAGCTACCGTACCAAAACTCTTTCCACATACCTGTTCTCTGTGTAACACATATTGTACTAATATGCAGGTGAGTGGAAGACTTTTCTGTTCTTGTCAAATTACCAGTTTTAGTGTTAGTTTAGGCTTTTCTGTTTCGGGAAGTACTTAGTTTAATCAGTAGATAAACTTGTGAAATATTATTTGAAGTTCATTTCAGACCAATGGTTTGTTAGTTCATCTGTTTGCAGTCTGCTGGTCTTTAACTTTCTGAAATCTTACGGCTTAGTGCAATAGGACCTGGACACAGCCGCGCCATCTTGATCTGAGATTTTGTCCTACTCCATATTTCTGATCTCAGCAGAGACGATCTTCATGAACCTCTGGAAACTTTGAAACCATATACAACTAAGCCAGCCACCAATATAATAGTACTCAAAAATATCTTGTTTATTTGTGACAGGCACTTCTGTATTTGATCTATGTTGTGTTTAGTCTTGTAACCATTGAGCGAGTTACCAAATTCCTAATTTCTTTAGTTCATATGAAACCTTTTTTCAAATTGTTTGTGTCTCTACTCTTTGGCTTCTACCAAACCACGAGTTCAACACATTGGTTTAACTGTTTGCTTATGTCTCAGCTTCTCCTATGGCCTAGAGATTTTTTTTCTATTCCATTGGCCAACATTTAAAAGGAACCATAGAAAAAACAGACGGGACACTTGTACTTATGGGACTTAATATTCAGCCAACTCTCCACAACTTGTAAAGTCTCAGGGAACAACTTGTCCGCTTCTGTATTGAATCATATATGAGCTGTGGGAAATTATCATAAAATGCAATGGAGACCTTATTAATGCGATGTGTCTTTTTGTTCTGGCTACTAGGATTGGATCTCCCATCAGAACGCCAGCTTTCACCTTGAGAACTGCAAACAACTTTGTAAAACGTCAGTTTTTCTTTAACTTAAATGTGTTTCAATTTCAGATTAAATAATTGTCATTCATCCAGATTTTTTCCAGAAATGTCTAGATGTTGTACAGACATATTTATGAGTTTTAGAAAGACTTCTACCCCCTTTGATGTTTGTCTACTTAGAACTGGTTCTTTTTGAATCAACTCTGCAGCATATTGGTAGAGCCCTCATAAATCATTGTTAATGGACACTTAATCAGCCTACCATCCTGCATCTGTTCAAATGGTTGAATGGTTTCTTGAACCCTATCATTATGAGTCTAGTGAAATTCTTGGCATGTGGTCTGAGAGTCTTTAAGAACCTCATCTCAATGTTTTATATTCAAAGAACACACACTTCCTCAACATCTTTTGACTTTAGATTATCCTCCTAATGCCTGAGACGTTGGCTTTGATGGAAAAATTGTTGTTTTAATAGTTGTTTTTAAATTGTCTTTCCAACAGATACCCCTGGTGGGATGGTGGGATTGGTTCCAGGTCCAGGTAAAGTTCTTCGCATGGCCGACTCTGGGCGATGTTATTCATTCTTCACTTTTAGTTTGGCTTTTCATCAACTGATCAGACGGAAATGTCACCTGTTTATATAGGCATGAGAGTCCCTCCCCGTCCAAGTCACCCAACTCCCATCGCCGCCGTGACTCGGAGGGTAGAAGGGATAGAAGGAGAAGTCGTTCCAGATCGGATCGCCGCTCTAGACACCATCACAGGTTTGTTAGACATACAGTAAATTCTGGTATGGGCCATTACATGTTAACCAGACATTACACCCGACACCAGACAACTAGATTATGTGTCTTCATTGACTTAAAACGTGCGCATCAACATCTCACTCTTGAGCCTTTTTCAGTCATGCCTTTAAGAAATCCAGATTTGCTTTGAAGTATTTCAGGTCTTTTTTTTTTAAACTAAAGTTAAAATAATTGAGGCATTCTTTTATCAGTTCTCGAGCATGGTCACGGTCTCGGTCTCGTTCCCGTTCCCCTTCCACAAGATATCGTAGTCGGATCTCATCGCGACATCAGTCGCATTCTAGGAGTTCTGAGAGACAATCTTCTCCAAGGAGGAGTGACCGAAGAGAGTCCACACCAAGGAGGAGCCGTGAGAGGCGATTGCCACCAAGACGGAAACGTGAGAGGCGATCACCCACCCAAGAGCTTTCCCCTGAGCGAGAGAGGGAAAGCAGTGCAGAGAAACTGGCCAGGAAGCTACTGGAAACATCAGGTTTGTGAAATTTCATACATTTTAAGAACTCTGGGTCGGAAAGTGGAGACAGCTTCTTACATCAGCTCTATTTCCATCACACTGTTAGTCCGTCTAGGTGTCCAGTCACAGTCCAGTCCGTCTGACCGGGAGGCCGTGGTCCAAACTCTCGCTCCTGCCTTAATGGCAGAGCTAGCAAAGAGGAAATCATCTTCCTCTGGGAGAGGACAAAAACGCTCCTCTTCTCCTCTATCTGCGGTGGAAAGAGATCTTCTTCCACCGCCGGAGATAAAGTTGCAGAGCTGGGAAGCGGGAATCAGTGCCGGGGGCAAAGAAAGACGTTCAGCTGACAAACATGGAGCGAGTAAGCCACCAACCAGTTCAGCCGAGACCCATGTCAAGCAAAGCGCCCTGTCAGTACCGGCTTTAGAAAGAGGTATGTCTAACCCCAGAGGAACTTCAGGGATCATTCACCAATCTTAATTTGCTCCTAAAACCCACTCACACAGTTCTCAAGAGGTTCTGACATTCAACAAAGTTCAGTCATATGCGGGATAAAACGCTAAACGACTCATCCTATTCAACCTTTTAAGGGTGTAACTACAGAACTGATGCATCAGCCGAGCATGCCTCCAAAAATGCAAGAAATGTCCGGGCTGAGGAAGCTTCTGCTGAGCGTTCTTCCACCGCAGTTACCCCTCTGACTCCTGGGGAGATGGTAGAGAAGCTACTGGATCCATCGCAAATAAGTAAAAAAGAAAATCCAAGATGGCGACTGTGTTTTTTACCCCCAAAAATATCACCACACCGACAAACTTTTTGTTTTTTTTTCTCCACAGGATTCATCTCGGTTAAGACCTGTTTCCAACCAAAGGTAGGTTCCCTCGTTTTTACGTTGTCCTCTCGTTTTGGTCGTTAGTGAAGTGAAGCGAGGAGACTGGATTGTTTTTTTTGTGCTGCAGGAGGCGGTTTTAGCCGGCTGCTGTTGATCAGTGCGCCCGATTCCTCTTTCTGATTCCGCTGATACTCTCTTGTTCTTCTAGTTTTTAAAGCAGAACAACAAGCAGCTGCTCATATCCAAGCTGCCCAAGGATGGCTTCTACAAAGAGGAAGATGTTGCCCGGCTGCTCACCCCATTCGGCTTTCATTATTCGGATGACAAAATCTTTGTGTTGCCACAGGTTTGCTTGGTAGGCTCCTGGTTTGTTATCCTGATCCAGATTAGTCTGGTTTATTAATTTCATGTTTCTGCCTTCGCTCTGTCGTCTCTCAAATCAGAAATACAGACTCTCTACCAATGTGATCACATATTCATATCTATATATTTGAAATGTACTTACACAAATAAAAGCAGTCGCCCTGCCCATCCCCCGCTTCCCCACCCCCGCTGTCCTTCTTAGGCCTTCGTCCTGATGCCAAAACCAGAGCACGTGTGTAACGTACTGCATTCCGTTTCAAGGGTTCGCTTCAGTCTGAAAGGAACCGCACTCTGGGTTAATGTTGTATCGGAGAAACAGATGATGTCACCGGTAAGCATGAATACAGGTTTCAACATGCACGTCACAGTTCCATAGAAATGATGGATGAACAGATTGGGTGTAAGTAAGTTCACACTGCGTACTCTGTTTCTGTTGTAGCTTGGGTTGTATATGAAGCTGATGGAGCTGATGAAGTCTGTGAGTAGCTCACTCGTTTCTACATCCTGATATCGTTATTTGTCTCAAATGTATATGACGGTGATAGAACTCATGAAGTAGCTGCGTTTCTTTCCCCTTACAGCCTGTAAGTGATGAAGGAGCTGCTGTCATCTACATCAAAAAGATTCCCCCGAGGGAAGCCAAGGATCTCCGCGAAGATATGAAAGATATTTCCTTCAAGAACTTCCTGCCTCTCCTCAACAAGGTTTACAAAAAACATCACAATGACGTGGCTCTGAAAAAGGACTGATCTGTCAAACTGCGTCCATGTGTGTCATCGTGTGTGTGCTTGTCTGTTCCAGGTGTTTATAGAGTTTGAGTCACACTACAACGCAGATCAATTTGAACATTGGTACTGTCACCTGCATCCAGGGCGATCCCAGAATATATGCAAGCTTGACAAAAACAAATGCCCCTATTTACCAAAAAGTAAGTCTATGTTTTATGGAATAAATGTGCACTCAGGGCGCACTCACATGAGGCAGTCTATACCGCGCCAAGCACGCTTCGACCCTAAAGTCAGGTCCTTGGACTAGTGGACAAGTCGGTGTGATTCGGCATGGTACAGATCCTTCAAAATACTGATGTTTATGCTTTTTAAATTCGATTTTTTTTTTTTTTTTAAACCCTGTGTCTGGAGGTGATAAAAAAATGGACGGGGCATCAGGAATCGATGCTCAGAAAGCTGGAAGCAACCCCAGAGCTGTGACAACCAAAGAAGCAGCAGCTTCTCTCGCAGCTCAGCCTGCAGCTGCAGGAAAGACCGTCCAGAAAATGAAAGCGAGCATTTTATATTCTACTGATGGCACACCTTTGAGCCGCGGGGAGATGGTAGAACACTTACTATGCAAAGAGAGAATAGGTAAGAAATCAAGACAGTTCGGTTTCTCTGTGAAAATGTCAACAAGTGATTTCAGTGTCCCCTTTTCATTTGCAAAACTACCAGAACTACGCTCAGCTGTTCATCACGTCTTTGTACAGTCATACCGATTCTGTGATGGCGTCATGTTGCCTTCCCAGTCTGTGAGGTCACATTGTGTTTCAGGCGTTGCAGAAACACCAGCACAGCGGACGCTCCACATACCCTCTCTTTTTGTAAATATCATTTTTTAAACTTTTGTAAAGATCTCTTTGTTGTCTCTTGCAGAGTGCCTCCCGGAAGAATCCTGCATCTCACCACAAGTAAGGTTACATCATTAATTTTACAAAGAAGTCTTAGGGTCGTTTAGTAACTTGAGATCAGTTACATCTTAAAGCCTTTCTGCTCCTCATTAACCTTGCCTCTTTGTTTAAAAAAAAAAAATGTTTCTAGTTCCTCGTAGGCGGCAGCAAGCTGCTTCTTCTAACGGAGCTGCCCGCCTTTGACGTCTACACAGAGGCAGATGTTGCCAAAGTGCTCACTCCTTTTGGATTTCAGTTTAAGGAAGACACCATCTATGTTGTTCCTCAGGCGCGCATGGTAAGCACCTTTAATCTGCATTCCTAAATTTAAAAACTAACACATATACACAGGCCTGCACAAGGAAACATCAGTGAGTGCAGACGCCATTTCATCATACCAGTATTGGATCAGTAGCGCTAGCGTTAGCCTCCTGGCTAACATTGACATCCTCGGCCTGGGTACGATCAGCTTCTGGAGCTAACTGAGGAAACGTGTTAACAATTTGTTGTTTCTTTGGGGTCTAATGTCTCCTAATGCCATCTTTATTCTGTGAAGGTCCTGGTGTGGGTACACAAAGTCCGAGATTACTAGTCTGACCTTTTAGTTCCATAAGGCTGCCAATAACGTTAACATCCCAAAGTAAATGGTTAACTATTTTAAGAAAGGGAAGGGAGGGGGGGTTGTTAACTGTCACGGGCCCCAGAAAGCTTTCCTCCCCTCCCCCTCCCCCCCTTACAGGTAGCCTTGCCTATATATGAAGATTTGTCTTTTCTTTTCAGGCGTTCATCCAAATGGGAACGGCTGAAGAAGTGCAAAAAATCATGAAAACCCACAAAGGGCATCCTCTTGTTCTGCTAGAGGCTAAACTGTGTTTGGATGTGGTGACCGGCTGCCCTGATACGTCACATGTATGCATCTTTTAATAGATCTTAGCAGAAAGAACTTCAAATATGAGCATGAACTTTCACAGTTGTAGTTTAAACTGAATGCTGCCTGATAGATAAATATGAACTCTGTTTGTTTTTTTTAGCTTGAGTTCTATAAGTTCCTGATGGGCCTCTTGAAATATGTGAGTACTACATCCATGCACACATTACCAGCAATTTGATAGGACAAAAGATTAAAGGTCCAATCAGTGAGATGTGTAGAGAGTGAGATGATAAAGGTATCTTACTATATGATCAGACATTAAGGAAACATGCTATGTTGAAGTGCTGGCTTCTCTGACAACAATGCAGCAGCCAGTATGTCCTCCTTCTAACTTTAGATTCTGCTCCTGAATGCTCTGGATTTGTTTGGACCAGAGAAGGTAGGCGCTTTTAAGGTGACCCCCCCACACGGCCGTTTTGAACGCCCCTCGGTTTGCCAGATATGAGAGCAGTTATCAGGTCAACAGGTGTTGCAGCGATGGAAGCGGTCAAGAGAAGTGTTTCAGATAGAAGTGATTGTACCCGACCTAAAAAGCCTCTGCATGTTTCTAATAAGCTCCACGAGCAGAAACGTGCTCAAACTAGGATCAATATTGGAGATGCTTTTGAAAAATGGAGAGAGGTTAGAACACAGAAAGGTTTACAGACCCATGCAGAGCTGGATAAACACTGAAGCTTCAGTGTCCACCACATGGTGACCTGCGTGAGCACTGACGCTAGAGATGAGGGGGCGGGGGGGAGACAGCTCTCTACAATGTTTAGAATTTGGACTGCAGTACCCATTTTAACCACTAGGTGTCAGAGTTACATACTGCTCCTTTAAACTATCATTAAAATCTCTGGAGGCGGACTTATGATCTCTGTGCTCTTGGTTTGGATGTCCACTTCCTGTTGTTGCTGCAGCCGGTCACTGATGAAGGAGGAAGAACGGTGCTCATCAGGAACATTTCGCAGAGCGAGATCGAGGACCTCAGGGTGGCTTTGAAAAAAATCGGCTCAGTCAGGAACGTCCTGCCTCTTCTCAACAAGGTAGAAACACGCGCACAGTTATACTTTTAAAGTCGCTACGGAAACAGAGACTCCTGTGGGTCTTACTACTCAAGAATAATATTGTGTGTGTTTTGCAGGTGTTCATAGAATTTGATTCAGTTCGTGATGCTGATCGACTCGGGGTTTGGTACAGTTTTCTGAAACGAGCAACCGGTCATCAAGTCCAGAGGTTGAAGGTACCGACCAGTGGCTGCACATCACAGGGTGCGTTTGTTTCACGGATCCAAACATTCAAACAAGAAAGTTAGCTTTTGGGCAGGAGCAGACGCCCTCCGGTGGTACCTAACGTTGTGAGATAGTTGTGTTATATGAATAGATCTCCCTTTTTTTATTACCTGCAGCACCGAGACATCCAACCGACGCTCTGCCCGACAACAAGGATGTCATGGAAGGGGCAACTGTCCCGCCGGAAGACACTGTGGTCCCACAGGGAAGCACTCCGCCATTTTGGCTCACCATGAGAAATAGTCCCTTTGTGTTCCCTACGACGTCCCCTTGGTTCAGCATCCCAAGTTAGAAAACGCCTTTATTTCTACTTTATCATCCAAACAACAAGTTTGATCCTGCCACAGAAACAGAATCAGTCAGATGACTCACTTTTGTTCCTTTTTTACCTCCAAGGGTTCCAGACCGTCAAAGCCGCGAGCGACATCACGGTAAGCTACTGTTGGATCATACAGCATGTGTTCTGTACACTCTTACTGATTATTGGTTATTCTGTTAAGTGTCTCACCCAAGGACAAATCGGACATGTGTCTTCAGACTCTACCACTGATCCACAGATGTAGTTCTCTGCTGTTTAGTCTGAACTAGATCATATGTTGTTCCAGACATCAAATCGTGCCAGCTTCTTTATTCTGAGAATATTTAGATAACAAATGCATCTCAAATCAAAACAGCCTGTAATCAATGCAAGTGTCTAGACAGCAGTGGAAAAAGTCTGTTGAGTGACTAGATGAGAGATAAAAAATAAAAGCCTTTTTGCAGAGAGAAATAGACTGGATGTTTTATGCAATCAATGCTGAAACTGAAGACTTTCATCAAGACTTGACTGCCCCCCTCACATTGCACCAGCACTGTGAAGTTCACATTTGGTTCTGAATGTCTGGGGCAAAGTGTGTTTTTGTCTTCCATTCTGACATCTAAAAGTACTGTAGTCATCGAATGATTATGCCAAATGAACGACGCGTACATGTCACTCTGGACTTTACATTTTTACGTTTTATTTTCTAGAGCGCCACAGGTTCCACCACAGTCATGTTGACCGGTTTGCCGTCTGGATACTACAAACACGAGGATGTAGCGAAGCTGGTGTGGCCGTATTTCTGTCATCAAAACCTTTGCTCCTTGTACTACAGCGTGATTGTGTTGCAGCTGCAGAGGAGGGTAAGAAGTAGACTGCGACAGGCACAAACATTATTCTCATACATGTATGTATCTGTATGGAGTTGCGTTTAAATTTTTCCCCCTCTTTACCTCCAGGCATTTGTGTTTTTTACGGACAAGGAAGCTTGCAGCCATTTTCTCCAGGACTACCTCGCTAGGCCATTATTGGTCAAGGGAAAAGCAGTTAAGGTTCATATTGTCCTGGAGCACATGGAGCATGAAACCAGTGAGGTAAGGACACTTAAGAGTGCACCCTCGGTTTTAACATTGCGCTTCATTTAGGGGGGGAATGAAAACTTAGAAGTAGAACCCGGCCGATAAATCGGCCTGCCGATAATATCGGCCGATATTAGTATATCAAGTGACTATCGGCATCGGTTAATTTTATATCTGATGTGTGCCGATATTCTTTATTCCCCAGTTAAAAAGCATTTTCTTTGAGCATCATTGTCTTACAGTTATCTTAAAGCTGTCACCAGCAGAGGGCGCTATATGGAGTACAATAAGCATTATCACCTTCCAGAGTGTCAAGCGACGTTACTTTCAAGTTGTGCACCGGGTCTCCCGAGGTCATTCCCCCCTCCCATTGGCTCGAGCTGAATTCTCCATATAATATCCTCACATCAGCTCACTCTGACTTACTGCGGAAATAATACTAGGGGTCGGGGCAGGAGAAACTCCGGGTGAAGTCTGAGCGAATCTGTTTGCGTTCACACATGCAGCTCCTCCTCCGGTAGTTTTTCAGGAGTGTGAAATCCCAACAACTCTACAGATCGTAGATATATGTAAGAAAGATATCGGCCAATATATCGGTATCAGATTTTTTCTCTTCCTTATATCAATATCGGCATTGGGCCCTTCTTAGGAGTACACAGGAAACAAGATGATTTTTTTGTCCATGTATTATTATCTTGACTGTTATTAGATACAAACTGCTTTATTTAGAGATGAGTGTTTTATGGGGACGTCGATTAATTCATTCACTTGTGACTTCTCTTGCAGGTGACGATGTACAAAAGCCTGATGAAGTGGAGCAATGCTGTGAGTGATTACTCCATTCCTTTTCAGTGTGCTCTTGTGAGAAGCAGCTGTCTTTGGATCTCTACTTCCTTAACATCGACATTTTATCTTCTTTTTTCCCACAAAGGGAGTTCCTGATTCCGACTCTCTGGAGGAGCGGCTGCTGTGTGTACGGATCAGAGAGGTGTCTGTGGAGCTCGTCCTCTTGGTTTTGGAGGTGGTGGCCGTTGTTGCACCCTTTGTAAACTTCCTGCCACTCGCCAACAGGGTAACAACAAATTAACCTGCAAAGCAGTGTTTTTCCACATGATCTGGTATATCAGATGGCTGGTTCATCTCTCCTTCACTGTATTTATTCTCTCTGCGTCCACGTCCGTCTTCCTCAGATATGCATCGAGATGGCCGATCCGAGCGGTGTGACAAAGGTGTTGGAGAAGAGGAACTCTTTATGCCCCGTCACTAATGAAAAAATGAAAGCATGGTATGTGAAAGTCAGGAATATCTGATCAAGTTCTGTTCTTTTAATAATCAAAATAAATGTTAACTTCCTGTTTGCTTCTTTCTAGGGAAAAAGTTGTTGGTTTTGAAACGTGAGTATGTCACTTGTTTGTTGCTACGCTAACTAAATATACCATGTCTCTATTGACTGATTTATGACAAAGATCTTTACAGTCCACTTTAATCCTGTTTCGATGTAGCCATGCATACTTTGATGAGGCCCAGTCTCACACACCTGTTGGTTTGATGAAAGCCGGTCTACTCTGTGGTAATCAGCGATTGACAATCTTCCTGTTGTGAATTTCAGTGTGAAGAACCTCGAGCAGCGTCTACAAGCTTCTAGCAAGACGTCAACAACGGTTAAAATGATCGATGCCAAGGTGGACACCGAGTTGCCAGCTTCAGATTGTCCAACCGAGCGTCCTCCTTCTGAACCTCTGGACAGTGGGTCCCAATCTGCTCTGCAAACCAGCCACCCTGATGGATCCACTGCAGGACCAAGTCCTACTGCAAACAAGGAAGGCGAGAACCCAGGGACTGAGGTCGCCATCGCTGCTGCTGGTTCCAATTCCAATGAAGATGTCAAAAAACCATCTGCTTCTAGCCCCGACCTCCCCGCCACAGCACTCATGTCTGAGGAAGACCTCGATAAATTCTATAAGGTTGACGCGGACAGTTTACACGCTCTCTACGCGGCAGTGGGCATCCACAAACGCCGGCGAGTCAGCAGGTCTAACAACATGGACAATGACGAGGTGAGGCTTGGCTTTGTTTGTGTCTTATAGTAGCCTCCTAATGTTTAGTGTGTGTAAAAAAGTCTGATACTTCCTGTTAAAACAATTCTACAATTCACTTAGCAGACTCTTTTATCCAAAGCGACGTACATCAGAGAGTAAGAACAACACAAGCAAGGATCTAGAAAAAAGGGAACAATGTGAGTAAGAGCAAACGATCAGCTTTGAGTCTGATTGGACACACAGGTGCTGACAGGAAGTGACCAGAGGCAAAGCACAACATTGAGGGCAGTTCTTGAGAGCTCAGTATAGAAACCATCTTATAAGTCTTCGTTATCAAACAAAAAACATCGTCATTACCATCATCATCATCAATAATATGGAGACCATCATCATTAAGTTAGTAGGTATTCATAAAAGAGCTGGGTCTTCAGCTTTTCCTTAAAGGTGCAGAGGGACTCTGTGTGTTCTTCTTTAGATCACCTGCAAAAGCAACACAAGCTCCGAAACTGAGACAGTTTGGTAAATTGTTTTCTTTCTCCCGATGAATAGGCAAATTCGACGTCCTCGCCTAGGACCGGGTCATCGTCTTCTGCACAGGAAAGGGAAAATATTAACTCTAAAGAAACTGTTGTTGACGCCTCAGTGGAGACTCATCCTGAGCAACTTACAGAAGGTGAAGTGGCAATGTCTGCCCACAAGGTGTCAGCAGAGGGCGCTGCTGCAGAATCAGTTGAGTCAGAGACAGAAATGGAAACATCAACAACGATGAAGAGGAACAACAAGGAAGGAAAAAAAGATGGTGATGAAACTGATAAACAGATGGGTGATGGCGACCAAGTCAAAAGCTCTAAAACGCAGACCACTGGGCCCAAGGAATCCCCGACTCTGCATGAAGAATGCCTCCAGATCTCGGACGGTATCAATGATGAACGCAAAGCCCAAACAGAGGCATCCAGTGAAATGGAAATGGATTGTTCTTTCCAAGGTCAAGACAGCCACATGGTTGAAGAGGATGGTTCCATTGTGAAGCAGCAGCTGTCTGAGGAAAATGACAAACCAGAAGTGGATAAATCTAAAGATAAGAAGGTGTGGAGAAGACAGAATTCAAAGACGAAGAAGTCAAAATTATTTCAAACGCATCTTGCAAAGCTTCCAAAGACGCTGAAAATCAAGTTAAAACCACTCCAGAAAGGTCTGATCGAAGAAGAAGCACAAGAGGAAAGAAAGAGGAGAACGCCAGTATACACCTCAAAGAAGCATCTGAAAAACCTGACAGGTTTCAGGAGGCTACGGTTCAGGTTTTGGACTCTGTGGAAGGGGAGGCTGTCAATAATGGACTAACCATCGCATCTAGAACAACCAGAGGAAGGAGGGAACGAGCTAAGACGGATGCTTCTTCAATTGACCAAACGATGGAAGAGGACACCACACCAACAAAGGGGAGGTGTACTCCGTCCAGAGAGTCCCAAAGCTGCGAGAAAGATTCTCCAAAAGAGAGCCCACCAACAAAGACCTTTGAAGCACTAGATTCTGTGGAGGTCGAGGTTATGAAGGATGATGGGCCTAGTACGAGAGCAAAAGGAAAGAGGGGAAGACCTAAAAAACAGAATGTAGCAACAAATCGAGAAGGAGCGACACCAGCAGTGATTGAAAACTTGCCGGAGACCAGATCGCTCAGCCATGAGGAGGAACCTGTTAACGTCTTGAACCCAAAGGTAATGTTCCAGATTTATACATGTGCAGGTTTAAGGTTCTTCTTTGGGGACAGTCCCAATACAGATCCCAGTGTAAGTATTGGTATCCAATACCGATCTGTCAGCCTCAGATCCTGGGTTCAAAAGTGGTTTTGGTGATTATGCTATCAATTGCCAAATTGGATGCCATAACTTAGAATCCCTTCCTCCATACAATGTACCTTTTTTCAAATTATTCATGTGACTAATAAATGAAAATCGAGCTGTGCAGAGAGTGTAAACTGAATATTAACATTCTGGACTTTATGCAACTATAGAACGTAGTCTTTGGTATTGGAGAGGTTCTTGGAATTGGCAGATTCTTACAGTTATTTCTTGATCTTGGTATCGGGAGGGAAAGAAAGGAAAAGCGTATCAAAGGACAACGTTTTGAAAAAGATAAATCAGCTCTTCACACCCTGAAAAACTCTGATGCCAATGATTTGTTTGTTTGAAGACTCTGGTGACTTTGGATGATGCTGGAGGTGATGAAGAGGAAAAAACAGATGGATACCTAGCTGGGAAAACCTCAAGACCTGCAGAGCTCAAACACGATGATGACACAGGTGTGTGTTCTTCCACACAGTTCACTTACATAGTGTGTGTGTTTGACTTACCTATACTGGGATTTTGATCAGGGCTCTTAGCAAGGCTGCCCATAAGGGGGATGAAGGAAATGTTGCCGACATAAGCAGGCACAGGGATCTTAAGTGGTATGCCAGTTATGTCACAATCAGTACAGCCACCAGGAGTTAGGATGCCGGAACAGAAAGAAGAAAAGGAGGCAGCTGACCCTGCATGGCTTGGTCCAATTTATAGTTTCTTACCATCAACCCAGATTTCCTCAGCAATGTTTTTATGAACCTGGCAGGAAGTGAACACAAGTTTTCTAGAACTCTTGAGTGGCTGTACTTCCTCGAGGTGACATTGGAGTGAAAGTTTACAGTCAAGGAAGTTTTATTCATAATTAGGAATTAAAAGAAGGGAAACTATAATATATCCCTCAGGAGTTTGAAGATTTTCATCTTGATGTTTATGTTTCCTGTGTCAGAGGAAAGTATGCATGTGGTGACCGTTGACGAGGCCGGAGAGGAGGTCAAGGAGGCGGTAACACCCAGGAGAAGAGGCCGAGCCAGGAGGAGCAGACAGACTCCTGGTAACACATCAACATCTTTATCATTTCAGCCTAGTCACTCCCCAAAATCTTCTTGTATTTTAACGTCTTTTTCCAACAGTGAGGAAATCTACCAGAGGGAAAACTGTGAGCACAAAAGAGGAACTTCCTCCCTCTTCACTTGATGCCTCCCTCCATGTGGAGCTCCAGAAGACAGAGGAGGCTGCCTCTGCTGGGCCGGAGCTGCTACTGCAGAACAAAAGCCTGGAGGGATGTGCAGAAGAAGAAGGGGAGGAGGAGGACACAGAATGGAGCAGGGCTGATATTAAAGGTAGAGAGAGACAAATGATGGATGGATGGTGGAATATTCCCCAACAGAATCTGTATTGTCTTGCATGCTTTTCCCATCAATACAAAGATTTAACTTTTGACTGTGTATGTCTCTCTCTTCTTTAGCTTTAAATGAAAGCAGGAGGGAGTCTCCTTCTGTCCCTGCAGACTTCAAACTGCCGGACTTCAAACCCAACAACCCCCTCGGTGAGTCGCAGTGAGACGCTGTTTTTCCCTAACCCTAACCCTAACATGAGTTGCCCGAAGCTAACGGTGCACTTTGTTCAACCCTCTTCAGGTCAGGAGTTCATCGTCCCCAAATCCAGGTATTTCTGTAAACTGTGCTCCGATTTCTACCTGAACGAGAGGACGGCCAAGGAGCTCCACTGCAGCAGCCAGAAGCACTACGACAACCTGCAGGTACACACACACACACACACACACACACACACACACACACACACACACACACACACACAAAATTCCAGTGTACTTGAAGTCACTCTGGCTTATATTGTTTGTTTTTCACTTTCTTTTTCCAGAAATATTTCCAGGAACTTGAAGACAAGTCATGAAGCTCATCGCAAAGCTCTCGAGGCTCTGCGTCTGATTGATCCATTTTTTAAGAAATGATAAACTGATTACCTTTTTCAGAGGTTTTTTTGTTGTTGTTGAGGTTTTCAACCACTGCAGATCGATTTGTAAATAAAGCAGTTTGTTTAAGTTAAAATTGTCCTGCACTGTGTTTCATGTAAATTATTTAATTTGACCTTCATCATAACACCTGACAAGTATTACTATCTGATCAGACATTAAGGAAACATGCTATGTTGAAGTGCTGTCTTCTCTGACAACAATGCAGCAGCCAGTATGTCCTCCTTCTAACTTTAGATTCTGCTCCTGAATGCTCTGGATTTGTTTGGACCACAGAAGGTAGGCGGTTTTAAGGCGACCCCTCCACACAGCCGTTTTGGACGCCCCTCAGTTTGTCAGATATGAGACCAGTTATCAGGTCAACAGGTGTTGCAGCGATGGAAGCGGTCAAGAGAAGTGGTTCAGATAGAAGTGATTGTACCCGACCTAAAAAGCCTCTGCATGTTTCTAATAAGCTCCACGAGCAGAAACGTGCTCAAACTAGGATCAATATTGGAGATGCTTTTGAAAAATGGAGAGAGGTTAGAACACAGAAAGGTTTACAGACCCATGCAGAGCTGGATAAACACTGAAGCTTCAGAGTCCACCACATGGTGACCTGAGTGAGCATCGAGGAGGAGGGGGGGGTGGAAGGATTATGTGGAATCTTATATTCTTTATACTTTTATGTTTGCTCATTAACTGATCCAATGCATTACACATAGCATTACACATATCACGTATACATGCACCGTGTCCTTATATGACCACTGCAACACACGAACCTTGCACGATACTCACCTCACCACAGGTGTTTTATCTCACGTACACAGACTCAACAACAGCTCCTTATAAGGACTATTTTTTAAACTCTCAAGGACAAGTTATTGCTACATTCACATATTTATACGCTGACCACAAGGTGCTGACACAGATAAAGCTACACCTTTTTCTTTGATCCTCCTCTGTAAGTTTCGATCACACTATATGCTTGTGGTAGAACTGGGCCTGCAGAAAATCAGCAGAAGGAGAAAACCCTCCGAACCTTGGGACGAGAATAAATAAAAGAGACTTTCAGAAACTGTTGAGTTGCTAAGTCACCCAGTTTATTACATGCAGCATGGAGAGAAGTTCAGCTATGCGTACAGGATACACAAAGTAAGTTCTCTGCCCGCTCTTGGGGCGTACAATCTTTATATACTTGAGCATATAGTGTGATCGAGATAAAACACCTGTGGTGAGGTGAGTATCGTGCAAGGTTCGTGTGTTGCAGTGGTCATGTAAGGACACGGTGCATGTACACGTGATATGTGTAATGCTATGTGTAATGCATTGGATCAGTTAATGAGCAAACATAAAAGTATAAAGAATATAAGATTCCACACTGTTAATGAACAATGATCAGAAATCAAGAGAAAATAAATATAAAAGCTGTACAGACATTTGACCTTTGACCTTTGCTTACAGAAAAGACAAAAGGATCTTTTATGAAAACTGGGAATCCTTCACTTCATAGGATTTGCCGAGTTCATTATCATCACTATCCCTCCTCCTGCATCTTATCCCATCTCTCCCCCTATCCCTTTCCAACCCCTGGCACAGTCTAGTCCTGTGAAGGCTGTTTCGTCATGAGCCGGGGATCCAGCCGAAGATTTCTGCCTTTTAATAAGACACTTTTTTCTTACCACTGTAACTTTTGCTGCTTTGCTAAAGTGCTCATGATTGATAGGCCGGGTTTCTGTAATATAACAATGAGTAAGGTCTTTTACCTTTGAGATAACACTTGTTATGAGTTGACACTATACAAAATAAATTGAATTGAATTGAATTATGAAACGATATCAGTAACGTCCTTCAGACTAAATGTTACATTCATGAAGCAAGATCATAACATGTTTTTTTTTTTCACCTACTCCCAGTTTCCCACAAAGTATTAAACTGTGGGAAACTGGGAGCAGAAAGAAGTTCATTAAAAGCATCAAATTAAAAAAGAAATGTCATCACATGATCATTGAGGGGAAAACAGTTTCATACAATTTGTCAAACATTTTAAAAAAGCAATACATGTTCAAGATTACATTCAAGGCGTCATATATCAAAAATTAAAAACAAAACATCAAATAAGCTGCCAAAGTGACATTTTGGCCTTGTGTCCATGAGTCAATGATTTGACTCGGACGCATAGAGGAAAAAAACCCTGGCTGGTCAAGTGCCTCTGAATAATGCAAAATGAAAGAAAATAAATGTGTCATCGTTGGGCATTTTTGGACTGTAGGAACTTTTTCATAGTTCTAGGTACTTTTAGAACCTGCCCCTCTTTTTTATTTATTCTGCACCGCAGGAACTGAACTATTTTAGTTCCTGGAACCTCGTTTAGAGGAACCTTTTTTAGCTCCTGTGTCAGAGCAGGTACTCTCCCAGGTCCATGGCGGCGAGAATGCAGACGTAAAAAAAAAAGTTCTCATGGTTTGTAGTTCTCAGCGTTCTCAGGGAGTGGATAGTTCCTCTTCAAAAAGTTCCCAGAACCGATGGTCTAAAAAACACCTATTTCTGGATTCACTTTATACTGCAGTGGTTCATCACTGATGTATGAAATCTTGTAGCATCTTTTAAAAGGTCGTCATTTGTAACACTTCATGAAGAAACTCAGCTCATACGTGCAAATGTAGAGCAGAACGAGGCACTTCAACTGGGAGGGACTACAAATCCCAGTGGGGTTTTTTTCTTTTTTAGACAGCTGACGTTTGAGCTTTTTCACTTTCTTTAACATAAAATACTTTAATGTTGGTGTTGATGGAGACACTCAGAACGAGAGCCTTCACGACTTTGTTGAACTTCCTGCTGATTTCTGTTGAACCTCTTCGTAGTGTTTCTAAAACCAGAGAAGAAGAAGAAGAAAAGAAGAAGAAGGAGAACACAAGCTTTGTAAGGCTCAGTGTGTTTTTAACATTGTTCAAGTATGTGTGTTTGTGGGTGTGTGTACCTGCAGGTTGTTTAAGTGTGTCTGGCTGCTGCAGTGGGGCCCCTCGGCTGTGCTTTCGTGTTGGTAGAACACCGAGCACAGGTTACAGAAATAAGCGGGGACCACAAACTCATTTCCTGTTGAAGGAAACGGAAGGAAAAATAAAATTGTGACCAAGCATTTTCATCGCATGTTTGTTTTTCAAAGTCAACTTTAGCAGTCGTGACTCACCGAGGGGGTTGTTGGTTTTGAATTCCGGCAGTTTGAAATCGGCAGGGACGGAAGGAGACTGAGAGCGAGATCGCTTCGCTTCAGGTCCGACCGCGTCCCTCCTCTTTTTACTCACAACTAGAGAAGAGAGAGAGAGAAACAACCATTGAGAAACTGTGTTAACCTCCACTATCATTCACCTCAGTCAAGATATCAGCAGAGGAGCTGCTTTTCAACAGACAACTGTTTGGGGCCCCAGACCAGTAGGGGGCCCCCTGAGGTCTGACAAACTCCAGCTTCTCTGATTTTAGAAATATGCTGCTTTTCACCATTTCTCACGACAGGAGAACCAAATTCAGGGGCGCTTCTATTTGTCCAGAAAACCTGAGAATAAAACGTTTCTTTTCGGGTTAAAAAACGGCCTCAGCTCTCACAGCAGTCCTGTACCTTTAAGGTCGGCACAGCTCCTTTCTTCCTTCTCCCCTTCCTTCAAACATCCCTCCAGCTTTTTATTCTCCAGCCCGACAGACGCTGAGCCGCTCTCGGCTTTACTGGCTGTTTTCATTCCTGCTGTCCTCTGCACATTCAGTGTGCCATCAGTGGACAGTTTAGACGAATCTTTGTCCATTGATGATGATGAGGAGGCTTTCTTTTCTTCTTTCTCCTTTCCTGAAGTCGCATCTTTCCGTCTGGTAGATTTGCTTACTGTAGAAGACAACGAATAGGTCGAGAGAACAAATGAAAAGTGCTCCATCATTGGAGAGCAGTGAAGCTAAAGATGCTACAAGTGTGCAAGTGTGTGTGTGTGTGTGTTACCAGGGGTCAGTCTGGTGATCTTCTTAGGTTGGCCTCTTGTCCTGGGTGTTGATGTTTCATCCTTCACCTCATCTACGCTCACAAAGTAAAAAAAACAAACAGTTTTTGTTGGTACTGAAAACTTAACTACACTAACAAACTTCTAAATGCATCATCATAAAAACTTTACTTGTGTCATTGTCAAGTTTGCGTTTTTCAGATCTTAAAGTTGTCCCTGTTGGCTCCTCGTTGGACTTCTCCTCTTTGTCACAGCCAGCATTATCTACAGTCTAAAAGTAAACATAGGACAGGTTGAGAGTCAGTGTCTCCAGGTGCTTCTTGTCTTTCTAAATCCTTACCAGAAATCACATTAACTTCTACGTGTCTAAAGCCCTTAACAGACTGCTGTGTGAAGCTGAAATATGTCCTGGATGTATGGGATTTTTGGGGCCGATACCGATATCAATATTGGGGAGAAAAAAATCTGATACCGATATCTCTCTTAGGTCTATGTTCAATCTGTAGCGATAGATAGATATAGACATGTATTGCCTTGATGGAAAATATATATAATGAAGACAAGATGGTCCCTCAACTGGAAAGTAACCGCGCATGTAACTTTTGTAATCCATACAGCGCCCTCTGCTGGTGACAGAGAGCTGCTATTGTAATACAATGATGCGCAAATAAAATGGTATCTGACTGATGAATAATTCTTGTAATATCGGCACATATCTGAGATAAAAATGAGCCGATACCGATAGTCACTTGATATGCGAATATGAGCCGTAATTATTGGCTGGCCAATTTATCGGTTGAATTATAAAAGTAGACTTTTTTCAGTTCTTTTCTCGAGTTAAAGAATCTCCGTTTATTGGTTGGCTCTGCTTGGATGGATACCATGAACACTTTATGCACTAAACTTTGGATATCTCCAACACTTTCTTTTCTTGGGCTATTTTGGGGAATTTATCCACTAAGGGATTATGACTGGGAGTAAGTAAAAGAAGTCCAGACTTCTGGGCCTGACCTGGATTTGTTTCCTGTGACGACGCCTGCCGTCCTCTGATTGGCCCTCCTGGCTGACAGTGTGCTTATTAAGACTCCTTCTCGTTGGTGCGTCCTTTCCTTTTGTTTTCTCAGTGGAAGCATCCTCGGTTTTTCTTGCCGTTTTTCCTCTGGTCGATCTTGTTGGGATTTCCTCTTTATTTCCCATTGTACTTATTTTTCTACAGGAGCTTTCTCTGGATGACTGGAGGAGCTTTTTGTCTGCAGTGGTGTCCATCTTTTGCCTTGTCTCATGTCTTTCATTTGTCCTGTCTTGTTTCCTTGGTGATCTCTCCTCTTCATGTATGGGTGCTTTGCTTGTTGGATTGCTCCTCCCTGAAGGTCTACTGTCTCTTCTAGCCATGGCCTCCCCATTCTTCTCTTGCTTGTTTTCAGTCTCTGATTCTGTTGTCTTTGGCTGATCTTCAACAGAATCGTTGACCTGGTATGTGTCTTTGCTCCTTGTATTTAACTCTTTAGAATGAGCTTCATTATTTGTCTCTCGTTTCTTACCTGCACCGTCTGGAACTGCGGGTTTATCATCAGATTTGCCAGCTATTGGACCTGAACCTTCCTCTGGCATCTGCTTTAAAGTGGAAGCGTCCCTTTGGACCAGGCCACTGTCTCCATGACTTGTAGCTGCTGCTGCGTCTGTTTGTGTTGTCAGCATAGTCGCAGGACCTTCAGGATGAAAATGAATAACAACACACTGACCTTTAACCCTTTGAACTCTGCCATGACGATACGTCTGCCCAAGGATTAAAAAGTGTTTTTGCTTGTTGTGATTTCATTGATTTTTTTTTCTAATTATTACTGTAAATCTGTACGACCTAAACTAAAAGATTAAGTCAGTCAATAAAATATGAATAATGAAATATCTGACTGAATTTTTTTTATCAGATTTTGAAATTAAGCAATTAATCGCGATTCAAATTTTTAATCATTGGACAGCCCTCCTTCAGATGCTTGAAATCAGAGTTACCTCAAAGATAAGAAAATCAATCTGTAACTGATTCTGGTTCTTCTATGAGTCCATTTGAAACAGTTTTTGCAAAGATCTAAAAGAAGAAGCTTCAAATAATGACCTCAGAAAGAAACTTACAACATGATGATGTGAAACCTGAGTGTCTTATAACCCCGCATTTTGGTCAAGAGAACTTTGCGTCCAGGGGCATGATTCAGAAGACCGTACCAATTTGCAAACCGCTCAATTATCGAGGGAAGTTCTATGAAGAGCTGGAACCACTCATCAGTTGGATATCGATCTAAACTTTTATTTCAAGGCTTATTTTCATTTAATTCAGATGAAGCATCATAGATTAGGAAATTTAGTGCCAATTGAAATCAGAGTTTGTTGATCAGAATCCTTTATAGGAGCAATATGTAACTCTGACACCTAGTGGTTAAAATGGGTACTGCAGTCCAAATTCTAAACATTTTAGAGAGCGGTGTCCCCCCCACCCCCTCCAGGTTGCCATGTTGTGGACACTGAAGCTTCAGTGTTTAGCCAGCTCTGCATCAGTCTTTCTGTGTTCTAACCTCTCTCCATTTTTCAAAAGCATCTCCAACATTCATCCTAGTTTGACCACTTTTCTTCTTGTGGAGCTCATTCGAGAAATAGAAAAGCATACACCCGATCAAAAAAAAAGCCTTGGCATGTCTCAATTAAAAAAAAGGTCTCAGACTTACCATGTTGGGTTGTTTTTGTCTCAGCCCCTCCCCCTGGTATCACTGCCTCCACAGCAGCTTCCTTTGTGCTTCCTGCAGCCTGCCGTTTCATTTGTGAAGCTTTTGTCCTGGTCTGTGGTCCTCGTGCCGTGGATTCTGGTTCTGACAGGGTGCTTTCCCGAACCTGTGTCGAAGCTTTGACAGAGGTTTCTGTCGGCTGGGTCTCAACTGCTTGTGGTTGAATGTCTTTGGGTTTGTCTGTAGACTTTACTGGTACAGCCTCTGGACTTGTTTCTCCCCCTCTGCCCTCACCAGCTTTAGCTCCAGATACCCCAAGCTCCATCGGTTGTTCTGCATTATGTGCCTTGTCAATTTTTCCTTGACCTTCATGCTCAAATATTGTTACCTTTTCTTTTTCAATTACCTTGGCTGTGTCTTTTGACACCTCCAAAGATTTGTGTATCTTGAGTTCATTCAGTTTGACCTTGAAACTTTCTCGCGGATTTTGTGTTTCTGCAGATCTTGAGGGTACACTTAAAGCTGCTTCTTTAATATTTCTGTTTGTTTCAACTCTTGACTCCGCAAGCTTGTCCACTTGAGTTTTGGATTCCTGCTTAGTGGAGAGAGGTTCTTTTTTGGGAGCAAAGACCTGTCCAACTTTAGCAGTCTCTTTCAGCCCTACTTTAGGTTCTTTGTCATTGGTTACAGATTTGCCAGGTTCAGGATTTAGTTTGGGAACACCGGCGTCAGTCTGATTTTCTAAAGCTTCAGTTACATCCTGTGCAATCCTTTCGTTTGATACAGCTTCTGTCACAGCTAGGTTTCCTGATAGAGTTTCTGGTTTCTGCTTACTTGAGACAATTTCCTTCTTGAATGCCAAGACCCCTTCTCCAACCAATGGGCCTTTTCCCAGTTCAGTTATTGTCCTGTTTTCTAGCTTATCAACTACAGACGTCTCTACAAGACCAGATTCTTTGACCCTGGTGTCAGATTTGTCAGTTACAGGTTTTGATTTGGAGTCACCAGCATCAGTCTGGTTTATTGAAGGTTTATCTTTCGATGGCACAGTCCCATCCTTTGCAATCCTTTCATGTAATGCAGCTCCTGCTTCAGCTTGGTTTTCTTTCTGTATGGTTGTGACCATTCCCTCCTTGGAAGCTAGGACCTTGGCTTCCAACAATGGGCCTTTTCCTAGTTCAGTTTTAGTACTGATTTTTGACTTTTCAATCCGCCCCACTAATCCAGGTCCTTTAACACCAGTTGCAGATATATCAGGTATTGCTTTCGCTTTGGGGACACCAGCTCCAGGCTGCTTTTCTGGTGCTTCAGATTTGGAGGGCACAGCAGTTGCATCCCCTGCAACCCTGCCCTTTGTCACAGATGCTGCTGCAGGCCGTGTTCCTTCAGATATTCCAGGTTTCTGCACTGTTGGGACCTTATCTTTCATCACAGCTGAGACCTCCCCTGCAGCAGCAGTTTTGGAGGCATCCTTGGCTGATGCTGCACCTGATTGTGTCGCCACCGCAGGCACAGGACCTTTAGGAGATCAAATCTCATTAGGATGAATATCAGGTTTGGTACGGATCATCCCTGTATTTCCCTTCAAACTTTAAACTTCTGATGTCTGCAATAAAAATGAGTCTGCCAGGGCATACATTGGTAGTTTGATAATAATGACGTCATTTCCTGAAGTATTTAACAAACAAAAGATCAGTACAAACTGAGCAAAAAGGTGATAAGTTAAGATAAGATTATTTGTATTGTCCCAGTGGGAAATTTGCCTTCATAGTGCTCTGGTAGCACCACCCACGTTTCACACCGAAGGAAGCGACTCTAGCTGTCATGGTTCTTTTTTTTTTTTTTAAATGAAGTACCCTCCCAGAGTAGTTTGTGTAAACTATATTGTGTTTTCATTCCTTCCTGACACAGAGAGAGAGAGACTTACCAAGTGACGGAGAGCTGATGATTTGTCCGTTCAGCCTGATGACTAACCAAGTGTAACCAAGCGGTCGTTTCAGTTGACTGTGCCAAAGTCCAAACCGCTCAGCGTCTTTAACAAATTCAAACTCTACAAAGACCTGGAAAAACACAAGAACACACAGAGGTGACGGGTGAGACTGACAGGAAGTCTTCAACACTTGTGTGTGTGTGTGTGTGTGTGTGTGTGTCAGTGTTTGTACCTTGTTTAAGAGGGGCATGAAGTTTGTGACAGGACCAAACTCTCTCAGAGCTTCTCTGAGCTCCCTGGTCGCACTCGGTGAAATGTTACTGATGAAGACGGTTCTATTTTTCTCATTAAACAGACACTGCATCAAGAACAGGAAGTAGACATCCAAACCGAGAAGTCAACATGAGGAAAGACACTGCAAAAACAAACTGCATACCAACTTTTGCATTTGTAGCATTTGTTTTTTAAAGTAAAAGCCATAGATTCATTGGAGTAATCTGTACTAGTACTTTTTTCTAGTGTGGTGGAAGTTTCCCAGAGCGATGAGAACCGCAAAGACTCAATGTTCAGACAAAACGTAGTCTTTGTGTATTCATTTGCAGAGGAGAACGAGGGAGAGGGCATCAGTCTGATTTAGAGCAGGAGCAGAGCAGTGCACACAAAGTAGTGAGCTATCAGACTGACCAAGAGTCTGCAACACATTCTGTATTCTGTATGTGGCCTTGGGAGCAGCTGCCTTCTGTTTGCAGGGAGGAAAGGTTCAACAAGTATCCAAACTTAATAAGAGAAAATATGGACAAAGCTGCACTTACAACTTTTTTTGTCAAGGCTACAAGTCAACAGAACACTCATACATAGACAGTCATAAAGAGGCTCCCTTAAAATTTCACTCAAGACTTTTGTGACATAGCTGAACAGACAGAGGTCTTCTCTGGGTCTTTTTTTAAAAGCACACTGTAGCTTTAAGAAGAAGAAAAAAAGGAGGTTGGTTATGTAAACAAATTCAAAGCTGCTCACACATTGACTAACCAGAAAGTGTGTGTGTGTGTGTGTGTGTGTGTGTGTGTGTGTGTGTGTGTGTGTGTGTGTGTGTGTTCGTGTTGATTACTTACACATCTCAGCAATCTCTTCAGAAACGTATAAAACTGAAGCTAAAACAGAAACATCAGAGAGGCAGCGTTAAAAGACAAAAAATACAGAGAGAACACTTTTTATTGTTTCTGTTTGAAAAAGAATTTCACTACAGTTTCTTCAAATGTTACCCAAAAGCGATCCCTAGCATCTACATTTTTTTCTACCCTTCTGTTGGGGGGCCAAGCGTACCGATCCGACCCTTAAGGGCGGAGCTAAACACACTGCAGTCTGTTGATTGGTGTAATGAATCGTCCATTAATTGACACCAGTAGAGTAATTTCAAGGTTGTTCTTTTATCAGCGCGTAGCACTGCCCCAAGCGTGTCTTCTTCTTCTTGTGATGAACAGCCGCATGCCAAGAAGAAAGAACACAAATAGCTGGACGTCCTCCATTGTTGCCCTTCGTTTGCCGTCCTTTGTGATGGACATTTTAACTGAACGAGACAAAAACTATCCACTGTCCTATATTCACAATAAAGCCCCACCCCCCCAAAAAGTGTAATTTAAACAATGTGATTCATATGCTTACAATTTTGAAGTGACCACGGAAGTCTATTACTGCAGCATGGAGTCTCGTCCCTCTTAAGTAAATGCCGTTTAATGCACACTCTCTCATGAAGTGTAACACATTTACCATTTTCGGCATCACGACAAAGGCCTGAAAGGAAAACAGAAAGAAGACACTACTGTTATTTACCGTAAATACTTTGATAATAATTTGATACCAATATATTGGCCGATATCTTTTTCCGATCTTTAGAGATAGATTGATATAGATATAATTATTTATTGTGTTGATCCCTCAAATGCAGTTATCAAACACTTGTGGAAAAGATTTACTGAAGACAAGATGGCCGTAAGTGTTGTTGTAATCCATATAGCACCCTCTGCTGGTGAAAGAGAACTGCTAGTGTAATACAATGAAACCCAAATGAAATTCTATTTGACTGGTGAATAAATCAAGTAATATCTGCACATATCTACGGTAAAATTAGCCGATGCCGATAGTCACTTTAAATGCTAATATCTGCCGATATTATCGGTCTGGCTCTAAAATGCATGGGTCCTGATTTTCACAATTTTTGCACATCTAACATGGAGACATGAAAACATGACATTACGACTGCAATCTTACAAACATTTAAAGAGAGAAACATCCCAGAATCTGTACTACTTATTAAAGACAAAAACAAACCATGCCCGACTGAGGAATAACGTAGAGTGAGTCTACGCTTCTGAGCCCGAATGGAAAGAGTAGATTGGCGACATTCTTCTCTGTGTAGAAACCCTCGTAGTAGTGTGGCAGTCCAAATATGAGTACGTTTTTATGACTGTGAGGAAGTAATCTCTGAAAGAAAAAGGGAATGAAGATACAGCAATAAAGAGATAAATCTGTATTGGAAAGGGACGATATGCATCAGAGAATCTTTTTTTTGCATACATATGTAAATATTGTAGAACTTATTGCGACTGATTTATTGAAACCTACCGAGTGTGTGAGGAAGTAGGGCCGCACAGAACCTGTTAAAAAAAGATACCATTTTAGAAAAATGAAGAAATTACACTTATGACGTACTAAGTCCTTTTGATTTCTTACGTATGAGCTCTGGATACAATTGCTCATGTAGCATCTCCCCAACAGTCACACGGGGTGCTCTGGATGGTTCTGCTGCAGCTGTTGGTTCAGTTTTCACAGGTGAGGCGACCTTAACAACAACTTTGGAGGCATCATCATCTTCTTTTCCGGTGAAGAAAGGAAAAAAAACTGGTTGGTTTGGGATCTTTCCATCTGAGTTGTTGATGATATCAAAAAAAGGTCTCAGACATACCGTGTCGTTTTTTTTTTACCGCAGCCCCTCCCCCTCGCATCGCTGCCACCACAGCAGTTTCTTTTGTGCTTCCTGCAGCCTGCTGATGCTTTAGTGAAGCTTCTATACCGGTCTCTGGTACCGACAGGGGGCTTTGCTGGACCTGTGTTGAAGCCTTGACGGAGGGTTCTGTCCGCTGGGTCTCAACTGGTTGTGGTCGACTGTTTACTGGTACAGCTTCTGGACTTGTTTCCCCCCCTTTGCCATCAACAACTTTAGCGCCTGATACCCCAAGCTCCACTGGTTCTTCTGCATCATGAGCTTTGACAGTTTTTTCTACCTTGGTCCCTGTGTCTTTTGGTACCTCCGAAAATTCTTGAATCTTGATTTCATTTTGTTCCAGCTTGACACCATGTGGCTGACTTTGTGGATTTGCAGATCTTGAAGGTACACTTCCATCTTTTCCAGCTGCCTCCTCCACACCAGCGTTGTTTTTGCGTCCTCCAGTCGGCTGTTCCTCTTGTGAAGCTTCTGTCCTGGTCTCTGGTCCTCGTGCTGTGAACGCTGGTTCAGACGGGGGTCTTTCCTGGACCTGTGATGAAGCTTTGTCAGAGGTTTCTGTCGGCTGGTTTTGAACTGAGCCGGTTGGCGGTTGACTTTCTCTGGGATTGTCTGCAGATTTTTCTGGTGCTGCCATCCTTTCGTTTGTTACAGCTTCTGATGGAGTTTTGGGTTTCTGCGTAGTTGAGACCGCTACATTTTCTTTTCCAACAACCTCGGCTGTGTCTTTTGGATCCTCCAAACGTTCTTGAACCTTCGCTTCCGATTCTTTAGGCTTCCGATTTTCTACATCAGACTGATCATCTGTGGATTTGGTAGGCTTACTCCCATCTTTAGCATCTGTTGCTCTGATGTTTTCGGCTTCTTGTGCAGATGGCTCATCCACTGGACTTTTGGGTTTCTGCGTAGTGGACACCGATCCTGCTTTGATTTTTGTTTTAATCACTGAGCATGTTGCTGGTTCTGGAGCTTTGGGTTCATCTCTCAGCCCCACTACAGGTTCTCTAACAGTAGTTTTAGTCTTTTTAGGTACAGGCTTCTGTGAGGAGTCCCCAGCATCAGGATGATTTTCAGTAGACCCAGACTTGGATCTTAAGGGTGTTTTTTGCTTTCCAGCTTCCGTTTTCACTTCTCCCTCCGCAGACAAAGCTCCTGTTTTCACTCTCTGCTGGGCTGAGACATGTGTCGCGTCTGAAACAAAGACTTTCCCCTCAGTGACAGTTGTCGCACCTTTGGGCAGTTGTCGCACCGTCTTCTCCTTGGAAACAGTCTCCTGTGAACAAACAGATTATATACAGTGTGAACACATATCATGATAACAAGAGTGCAATTTTCTGCCCGTCAAAATCTTGCATGATGGTACATATTGCTTGGATAGTGCCCATTGGTTGAATACTACTTTTCACAATGCATCATGGGATACAATGAGTGCACTAGGGTATGATCATGCTCACTCAGAAATATAAAATATGGTATCCACCATATAGTGAGTAGTGGGTGATTTTGGATACAGCATTTGGAAAAAGAGAGAGTTTGAAACCTTTTCTACGACTACGGGGATTGTCCTCCCGTTCACATCGAGGCTCTCTGCCATTTTCAGTTTCTGAGCACCTTCCTCTTTCTCGAAAATCACGATCGCCTACGGACAAACACACATGGAGAGCTTTGTGTTACAACCATCATCAAGATTTTGATATTCAGCACGAGATTGGTTCGTCAGTCACCCTGGTTCTTAGAGGTTAATGTCAGTCACAGTCTGTCAGCTGAAGTGTTCAAACACCTAACCCGCTTTGACTTTGTGCAATCTTTCAACTTTTCAAAAAGTCGCTGCATAACCACTATAATAATAATAATCTTTATTTATAGAGCACTTTTCAAAAACAAGTTACAAAGTGCTTTACAAGGACAGCAAATATAAAAACAGGCAGGTCATAGAATAATAAACAAGGCAAGAGTAAGGAATAAAAATCACTTTAAAATATAAAATTATTTTAAAACAACTACAATTCTAAAAAGTGAAAATATTAACAATTTAAAATCAACAAAAATCAGGAAAGACTCGCCGGAAAAAGTGTGTCTTAAGAAGGGACTTAAAAGAGATGACTGATTCTGCCGACCTAGGCTGCTGGAGCCACAAGAATGTCACTTTTTTTTGCGATATTCTGATGTTTTCTTTGCTGCACCTGTACAGCATGTTAGCTGTTGCATATCCCGTTTGTGAATACTCTGTATTTAGTGAGTTTAGTCGGTTTGTCATGTCGGCTAGTCATCAGTGCAGCGAGGTCTCTGTGAACATGCAAGAAAGCAAAGAGGAACACACTCGCTGAACATACCTCCGATCGGGCCCGGAACAGAACCACCGACTTAGTTTTTCCAAAGTTCTCCGCGGCTGAGAGCACTTCACAGTGAGAGAGAGATTTGTCAACCCCCTGCAGTTTCACCACAGTTGGAGGCGACACTTTTACAGACTGTGATAAGGAAGAGAGAGAGAGAGAGAGAGAGAGAGAGAGAGAGAGAGAGAGAGAAAAAAAGCAGCTCAGACTTAAGACCAAATACAGCGTTCTTAATCCTATGTTCAAATACTGGTACATTCGACGTGCAGCTACCTTCGCTGTGTTTTTTCGCACCTCTGGAGATTCTTGACACTCAGTGTCAGATTGTTTGAGACTTTCTCCATGTGGCTGACTTTCTGAATGCACACATCTCGAAGGTGCACTCTCATCCTTCCCGGCCGTTTCAGCTGCTGACTCAGCGAGCTCGTCCTCTTGAGTTTTGGGTTTCTGTGCTTGGGACGTCTGGACCTTCTCGTCCAATGAGGGGCCTTTTGCTGCTTCTCTAACTCTCCCGTTTGCATCAGTGCCTTTCAGCCCAACTCCAGATCCTCCGATACTGATCGTAGACCTTTCAGGTACGGGTTTGTGTTTGGAGTCACCAGTGACAGACTGAGTTTCTGGAGATGTGGTCTTGGATTCCAAAGAGGTTCCTTGCTTTGCCTGCTTTCTTTCTTTTTTGGCCCCAGAGATCCTCTTGATCAACATGATTTTCGCCTTGGATACCAAGACTCTTGCCCTGTTTACAGTCCTCACTACTTCAGCTGAGACGTTCTTTTTCCCATCATGAGTTTTCCCGTCGCCTTTCTTCTGAATCTCAGGCCCCTCTGCGGAGGAATATTTGGTTTGGGAGGACGAACTCCTGTGGTGGTCGTGGTCTTTGTGGAATAAGTGGTGTGATGTGTGGCAGGTGTTCTGTAAGTAAAGGAGTAAGGAGGAGGAGGAAGAGGGGGAGGAGGAAGAAGAGGAGGAAGAGGGGAGGGGAGGAGGAGGAGAAGGGGGAAGAGGGGAGGAGGAGGAAGAGGGGAGGGGGAGGAGGAAGAGGGGAGGAGGAAGAGGATGAGGAGGAAGAGGAGGAGGTAAAGTGAAGGTAAAGACAGAGAACATGTTAGTGGGCTGCACAGGGTCAAAAATAGAAAAATGAAGGAATCATGTTCACTCCTATAAGGGACAGAAGTTAAATTGCAAATAAATGAAAGACTGTCTAGGTTAAATGGAAACTAAGTTCCCGGTGTGGTCTAAATTAAAAACATGACTTACCTTGAAGGAGGCCTGAAAGAGTCTCGTAGCTTTTCTTTCACACATCTCAAAACTATTGTTTGTCCTCTCACGCAGATGGTTCTCGAGCTCCTCAATTTCTCGGCATCTTCCTCTCTCTCGAAAACAACGATTGCCTACGTGTGAGCACACAAAAAGGCGGACATCTTCAATCGATGGGAAGTCAAAAGATTCAACATTAGCCGTTTCAAGCCGCCATACTTAATCAGATAGTGTAGGGAATAAAGGGGGGAAGAAGTGATCTCCCATCTGTACCGTCTTCAGAGTATTTGGGTATACCCGTGAATGAGCATAGAACTAAAACAGATAGAGTGTGCACCTTTACCACAATCTCTCTGCATTGGGCGGCTCGTCGTCACATTCTTATCCAACACAATCTATCATTGGGTTATCGAGCACCCCTCCATACACACCTTTTCATGTTCTCTACACGTACCTCCTTTCTGGACCGATAGAGCGTCACAGACTCGGTTTTCCCAAAGTAATCCACAGCTGCGGCCACATCGCTGTGAGAGAAACTTTGTTGAATGTCTTTTAGTCTCACCTTGGATTGATGTGACAAAGGGAGAGAGAGAAATAAACAAATAAAGATAAAAGAGAGTAAGCATCTGTGTTTTATGGGGCAAATAAAAACTGTAAGGGAACTGTCCGTTTGATGTTCGACCACCTGGTGGGTTCCCACTTTTTTTCAAGAGGTGTAATTGCCCCTTAAGAATTTGCATTCCTATTGGTGTGTTGGTTTATTGTTGCATGACTGTTCATTGATGTTGAGCCTGACTGACCTCAGAAAACAACTGTAATGTCTTCTCTCTGTGCATGTAGTAAAAAAGGTTTTCTGACTCATCACACCGAGTTTGGACTTCTTAAAGTCTTTATATGTGATTTTTCACACTTCAATGTAATAGAAATCAAGTATATCCTCTGAAAATAACTCTGTGAGTCATGACTGTCTACAATGGGTATAACACCTGAGTCCCACTGTCTGTGATGTTTTCAGAGTTTTCAGAGTCCTATCTTCAGTTTGTTTACATCGCCAGGATGGCCGGCCGACTCCTCCCCTCGTGTATGAAAGTTGTTTAATTGAGGGACTAGAGAAAAGAAGAATAACATACTGTACTCACTGCTTAACTACGTTTCTAGATCACGCTCATTTCAGGTAAATTTACATGCAGTGTGAAGACATGAGCATAATAAAGATCGCTAGCATTAGCATGCTAACACAACAATGCACCGCAAGTTGTTTTGGTTTCATGCTGGTGCTCAAGGGCGACATCTGCTGGATCAAAAAATTGCATATAAAGCCTTTAAGAGAACTAGCAATTCTCATTTTTGGAAGACATTTAACAGTTGAACGGAGGTTGCCAGATTTCATGATGTGTAATGTAAACACACATTTTAACAAATAACAACTTGAATCTCTGTGGAACAACTTGCCTGCCTCGAGGCCGGAGGCGAGGTGGATGATGTCATCTTGGCTAGCTCAGCCAATAAGGCAGGAGCCAGAGATTTAACCACGGACTCCAAGTCAATCGGATCTGACAGCGACTGGACGGCTTAAGAGAAAAAGATGAAATAATGTCAAGACAAAATAGAAGCTTGATGTTAGAAGCTGTGATTTGCTGAACTAACTGAAGTTGACCAGATCTTAAACTGGGAAATATCATTAAAACAAAATAAAGTTATCAATGATAAGCAATTTTTTTTAGCTCAGTCATACTCCTAAATATGTTCCATTAAAGACAAATCTTTACAGTGATGACATAAGAGGTCTTATCGGTCCAACTCTACCTGTTGGCGACCTTCTCTTGTCAACCCTCCGCGGTGGGGAACATCTATCGTCGCTCCTCCAAGGTGGCGAGTATTTCTTGCTAACCTTCCTTGGTGAGGACTTTCTATTGGCAACTCTTCCTGGTGATGACTGCCTCTCGTTGCTCCTCCTCTTTGGTGACCGTGTCTTGCTAGTCCACCATGTTGGTGACCGTCTATCATATGCCCTCCTTGTTGGCAATCGGGTCTCCTTACTCCTCCTTAGGGGTGATCGCCTGTCATGAAATTTCCTTGGAGGTGATGTCTGTCATCCTTCCTCCTTGTTGAGGACCACCTCTCCGGGCTTGGTGAGCGTGACCGTCTCTCCGGGCTTGGTGAGCGTGACCGTCTCTTTGGGCTCGGTGAGCGTGACCGTCTCTTTGGGCTCCGTGAGCGTGACCGTCCTCCGGGCTCCGTGAGCGTGACCATCTCTCCGGGCTTGGTGAGCGTGACTGTCTCTTTGGGCTCTGTGAGCGTGACCGTCTCTTTGGGCTCCGTGAGCGTGACCGCCTCTTTGGGCTCCGTGAGCGTGAGCATCTCTCAGTGCTCTGTGTGGGGGAAGAAGGGCTGTACCTTTGGGAGCGAAAAAGACAGAGACCCGGTGAAAAAATGGACTGTTAGGTGGGGTTTGTTTCTAATGTATAAATCTAATGAAGAAATCGTGAAACAGACTGGAGATTATAACACCATTTAATCGGCCGAGGTCAGACAACTTCATCAAACAAGCATGCTTCCAAATCCCTTGACTGACAAAGTGCTGACAAAGTAACAGTGTTCACAGTCCTGCTTATATTCTGTCAAAAAGGTGCAACCCACAAATTCCTTTCTATTTGGGTGCATCACCATAAACAATGAAGATGACATGACACTGATTTGTATACGTATCAGCAACATATAGTTGGCTCCTCTCCATATATAGATCTGCTACTACTTAGGTGCTTCGCTCATATAAGGTTACAGCTTAAGACACCTAAAGGTAGGAGTGTCAACACGTGGTAGGCAGACTTGAATAATACATTTCACGAAGTTACCAAGACGAATGAATTTCATGAAAATTTCGTACTAACATGGACTAAATAATTTTACATATATAACTAATTAAACCTAGTTGGGTAGTTGGTTTCCACAAGATAGTGAAGCCTTCTGTTCTCCCCTTTAAAAGCTGGTATCCTTGTTTACACAGTACAGACCTGTGGCCGTATCCAGAGCGTTGTGGAGATTGTGATCGGCTACTTTGGCGATGAGGGATGATCGATTTGGAACTGGAGCGACTTCCATGCCTGGTGTTCTTTGCAGAGGTTGATGTGGAGGGCTTTGCAATCCCACCAGAGTATAACTTAGGGAATCTGAAAAAAAAGGACAATTATTAAAACACAACAACTCAAGCTGAATTTAGCATATTTAGCGAACAAAAGCCAAGTCAGTATTTTGCAGCATTGTAGCGGTTCTGCAGACAAACATTACAATAACCTTGAGTACTTTATTCTGAAAGAATTTTACATTTTACAATGCTTTAACATTTTTTTGCAACCCGAGTTACAATTCCCAAAACTCCGATCGAGGTAATGATCAAAAATAATCCCAAACAAGTAAGGTGAATAAAGAAAAAAACTGACTGTTTTCTGAGGACTTTGCTATTCTTCTGGTGTTGGACGCTGAAGTTGTGGGAGAGCCAATCCTATTAGTCAAAACAGACATAAAACATCAAGATAGGCCCCTTTATCATCAACATCTCTATCACCATCACAATCCCAGCTGCAGAGTTTGGATTGTCTGACATCACACATTTCATCAATAATACAGAAGCCTTAAAAAAGTCACTTTAAATGTCAAAGTATTGGCATCATAGTTGTGGGTGTGAAGAGTCTCTAAAGCCAAATGTCCATCCAGTGTGTATTAATGTAAAAGAGCAAGTCTATTAAAGCTATTAAAAAAAAAAGGCTGAGTTGAATTCATGGCTTAGGCAAAGGCCCAAGAGTTGTGACAAAATAAATGTGATAAGCGTCATCAAAACTATAAGGACACTGAATATTTAGTAACTTTGTAAACTCTTCAAACTCATAGGTAATAAATACAGCAGTGCATTTGACAAACAATCACAGCAACAAAAATCTTCTTTTTTGGTTCCTGATCATGCAAGATCTTGTCCTTGGGTCCGAGCTAGTATCCAAGTTTCCCAAAGTTCCCTGAAGGTCATCGCTGCAGAAATTCACTCAGTACAGACCAGGACAGAATATACACACAAAACTGAGATATCTAGAGTAGCTGTGGTAAGACATGGGAAACTGGGAAGCTGGTTGTATCATGCGAAATATAAAATAATCTCTTCTGATCGTCGTTCTGATTTGTTGGGAATCACTGTGTAGTCTGTCATGACCGTCACTTCAGTCAGGTCACAAAGTTATTGCTATGTAATCGCCTAATCTGACTTCCAGAATTCCTCAAGAATTACATATGATAATTGAGAGAACAAAATTTGGCATAATAAACAACCAAATATTTCCAAAAAGAAGAGCGAACAGGACGACTTTTCTACTCACCTTCAAGTCAGTACAGTCTTTGTTACATAGAGAACAGGTATGAGGAAAGATTTTTGGTATGGCCACAGCATAGTCATACAACATCTCTGGTGATGGCTGGTCCTTGGAGACAGCAACCTCGTCTTTCAGCTCCCCTTTGAAAGTTGGTACATTCATTTGGCCTGGATGACACCAGTGACAGGAACTGCTTTTTCAAAATCTCCTGGCATCCATGCTCGGCCTGGCTCTGACACTGCTAGCTTCTGTGGCAGCACTGTCTCTTTCTTTGCTTGTTGCTGCTGCATAGGCGGCTTCTGGGCCTGCTCCACTGGCTGCTTCTGGATCAGCTGCATTGAATGATGCTGCATTTGCTCAGTCTGTTTTCCCTTCTGCCCCATGATATATTTAACAACTGACCCTTTACCTTTGGATTTACTTGCCTCCTTTAGGTCACTGGCATCATTGCTACCACTCAGAACAAGACCAGGTTGGCTGGGATGTAAGCCATGAGACAGAGTGGAAGGTAGTTGGGTTTTCAGTGTTGACTGGCAATCTACTTCCTGTTGATTCAATGGAACAGGTTTGGGGGCCTCAAACTTGTAAACCTTAATGTCTGTGTCTTTCTTTGGCCGAGGGAAGGAGCTGAGGGTATCTTGGAAAGTCCAATCATTGCTACCAATGAGCACAAGGCCAGGTTGACTGGGATGTATGCCGTGGGACAGAGAGGATGGTAGTTGGGTTTTCAGTGTTGACTGGCAATCTACTTCCTGTTGATTCAAAGGAACCGGTTTGGGGGCCTCTGACTTGTAAAACCTCATGTCTGTGTTTACCTTTTGCAGAGGGAAGGAGCTGAGGGTATCTTGGAAAGTCTGCTTGGGTAGCATCTGTGATTGTGTCGTCTTATCACTGCTTGGAGATGCAGAACTTAGAGCTGAACTGCATGAAGAGCCAAGACTAGTAAAGGAACTCTCCTGCTCTGTATCTTTCTTCTGAAGTGGTTCTCGACAGTTTCTGTTATCAGCCGTATCCATCGTAGACACATATCCACTCCCACCGCTATTGTCTCTGTCCTTTTGGAGGCGTATTTGGTGCAAGATGAGTGGCAGGTTAGCAGGGGTCATCTGGTCTTCAGGATAGGAGATAAGAAATTCCAAATCTTCTTTCTCAAGTCCAAAGTGCAGAAGGATTTTAGCAGCAGTTTCAGAGGTG